AGAAGTTTCACAGGGATTTCCATTAGGACCTTTACCCGGAGTTGTGTATCCTGTTAATGTTGTCTATTGCGGAAATTGCACATTACCTATTGAGGTAAAATAATCGTGAAAAAAAGCAAGCATCATGCTGCTGCTCGAAAAATATTTTTGTTTCTTTTTCTCAACGATAGTTTAACTTAAAGTAATAAAAAATATTTAAAAAAAACTTTGTTGATTGTTTCAGTACTGCGAGTATTATCCAGAGTATGAAAAATGTAAACAGTGGTTAGAGAAAAATTTGCCAAACGAATTTGAAAAAGTAGTCAAAGTTGGAGATAAAGAAGAAGAAGGAGGAGGAGAAGAAGAGAAAAAAAGACAGAAAAGAGGGGGTAAGGGTATTGTTAAACCTAAGAAAAAAGAAGAAGTCAATAAAAAAATCTGCGTGTCAAGAGCTCCAAGGGGAAAGAAAAAATCTGTTACAGTTGTCGTAGGTCTAAGTACATTTGGTAAGTATTCTCAAAATTATTATTAAATTAGTTCATTTAGATTTATAGGCGAAAGTTGATTCGGTAAATGTTTCATATTGTTTTAATTACTTTAATAGATATTGATCTTAAAGTTGCATCGAAATTTTTTGGTACAAAATTTGCTTGTGGATCCTCCGTGACTGGTGATGATGAAATAGTTATTCAGGGAGATGTTAAAGATGATTTATTCGATGTTATCCCAGAAAAATGGCCAGAGGTAAATTAAATAATTTTGAAAGTTGAAGCGTTTATTTAGTCGCAAAATTTATTTATCCACCTTCGTCATTCTAAATTCATTCATTACAAAAAAAAATTTTTTTTTTTTTACTTTAGATTGATGTAGATTTTATAGAAGATCTTGGCGATTTAAAAAGATAACCAAAATAATAATGAAATTTATGGAAATTATTATTATTATGGGAGATTTAAAATTGAGTGGTAATGCAAAAAGTCAGATATTCAAACTAAGAAAAAAAAAAAAAAAACTGGATTTATCGAAATTTATTTTGTATTGTAAAAAAAAAAAAAAATTTATTTTATTTTATTGCTTTTGCAAGTAGTTTATTAATTGTTTTAAAATTTTTTTTTCAATTAATAAATTATTTTTCATAATAATATTTCAGTACCTTATTGATTTTGATTAAACTTACCATAAACGATTTTTTTTTTTTTTATTCTGGTTATTTTAAAACTTTTATTCGTAAACTTATTCGTTCAGTTCAATGGTGAAATTCTTAACGGAATTAAAATTTTCTTATGTAAAATCCAACATGGGGAATTTGTTGTGTATTTTTCTGTTGAATATTATCGTGAGAAACATATATTTAATTTTTCTTATTTTATCGAATACTTTGGAAAGAATTTGGGATTTTATTATATGATTGAGTAAAAAGAAAAGAAAGACAATTATTTATTTATCAAATTATTTTAATATTGTGTACATTTAAAATACATTTACATGAAAAAAAAAGTCTGAGGTCTTTGCACGAAAACAATCATAATTTGTAATACTATATATGTATTTATATATCAATTATATTTTATATAAATATATATTCATTTACAAATTCATATTATTATTAGGTGTCGAAGCAGCAGGTGTTTTTTAATTCATATTTATAAAAATTAATTACTTCAACCATTTATAACAATTAGGAATATTGAATTACATTAATTGATTTTTTTTTTTTTTTTTTTATTGAAAAACTTTTAATTTAAACTTTTAATCTCAATTTATATTTTGTTTTTAATTAGGTAATTAATAATAAAAATATTTGAGCTCATTATAATAATAGTAAATTTTAATGGAGTCACAAATTATGTACATGAAAATTATCGACCGTTAAAAAATTCTTATATAAGAATAGTAAATTGCACAGTGAAAAAAAAAAAAGACAAAATCACACATCAAATTTTAATTTTCATTTTAATTATATTTATTTAGGTAAATTGTTATTTTACAAGAAATTTTTTTAATTGAGATAAGTAACATCTATAAAAAATACAAAATATTGAATAACAATTTATTTATTCAATTGAAAATTTATTCAAAATAAGTAATGTTTATATAATATTTACTCGATTAAAAAAAAAAAAAAAAATTTTCTTTCTTTTTATTTTTACATGATATTTATTTATTATTTTAGTTATGTTATCGAATCATGTTTTATTTTATTTAAAAATTAGTAACTTTTAGTATCATTTTCAAATAATAAAATATAAAAAGAGTTTCAGCCATTAAATTTTTTCATGCATTAAGTGAATGATATTTTAATAAAGCTAAATTATCAAAAGTAATTACAAAATTGAATCGGACAAATTTTATAAATATTAGAATTCACTGTGTAAGAGTTTAAAATATAATTTCAATCGAAGAAAATAAAAAGTGACATTTTCTGAGATGCCAACAATGTTATTAAAGAATCGAAATTAAAATGAAATCAATTTATCAGTCATAACTTTCTTTTTTAAAACCGCCATATTGTTATTTTCTTATTAGAGAACAATACAGTTTTCTTTAACTTATATTTGTTCTAAATTTTATTTTAGTAACTTTTAAAAAAAAAAAAGGTAAAATGTTTTTTTTAAACTACTATTCCAAATTATAAAACTAAATGAAATTATTTGTCAAATAATTACTATATATATATATTACTACATAAGGCAAGATATTTTAATACAATTTTTGCTTTTTTCTTTTAATATCGGCTAAACCTACAAAACTATTTTAAAAAATGTATCACAAATATAAATACTAATTATTAATATAAATTGACTAATTGTTTATACAAATGCTGAAATTATATTTAAAATAACGGCCGGCTTATTTAAATAAGGTTTTCTTTTTTAATTTTGACAGAGGAACATCATCACCTTCAGAATCGCTATCTGTAGATTCAGGAGTCGATGGGGGTGATAATTCTTCTTCTTTAACTTTTACCTGATTCTGAGGGTTGAAAATTATTCTTAGTGTAAAAAATTTGATTCAATGATTATAAAAAATTATGGTAAAAATTGTTATTATTACCTCACTTTCGGTTTTTATATTAATTTTTGGTTTTTGCTTGAATGTAGGAAGGTATTTTTGAGCAAAAGGCAAAACCCTTCTAATATCAAAATCTTGATCTACTCTTGAAACAGTTTGTAATCTGAATAAAAAAAAAAAAAAAAAAAAATGTGAATCATGAAGAAATTTTTAAACAATATTTTGAAAGATATGATAATAATACCTTTGTTGCTCGCTGGTAACATATAAATCATCAGGTTTATGTGTAATATTATGTATTTCATATGCTTTTTGATTGTAAAATAAAGCATCACAAGTGGTGCAGCGAATTAAATCACTAGGTAATATCTGTTGCAAACATAAAAGAAAATGTTTTTCAACTTGAATTTTTATCAATGTAAAATAATTACTCAATGTTTTAAATTGAAACTTACACTTCTTTCATCTTCATTGTGTGCTTTTTCTAAATGTTTTTGAAGATTAAATTTGATCATATATTCACATCCACACAAATGACAATAGTACACACTTTGAATTTCACCAGCATTATTTATTTTAACTTTTTTACTCGGAGGTGGAGTCGGAACAGGTTGAAACAACGTTTTAAGTCTAAAAATAATTTTTTACATAAGAAAATCAATAATAATAAAAACTAATTTTATTAATAATTTACATTAAAAAAAAAAAAAAATTTTCTCTAAAAAGTCACCTTTTATGGGTAGATTTATAGTGATATTCTTTGGCTTCCTGAAAATAAAATTCTGCACCGCATTCCTCGCAGTATAATGATTTTTTTTGTCTGATATCCGTTATGTGAGATCTCTTAATATGATTTTCGAATATTGCTTTAATTGTAAATTGCATACCACAATATGAACAAACATATTTGACAGAAGCATCAGGATGTTTTTTAAACTTGTGTTGTATTGCCTGTTAATTAAAATTTTAAAATCGAGAATCATTTATGTAATAATATGAATACCATTAGAAAATTTAAAAAAGTTTAATTGACACATACGTTAGTGTTATTAGTAAATTCTTGTCCACAAACATCGCAAGCTATCGCTTTGGTCTTTTCTTTTTTTACTTCAGTAATATCCTTTTTTGTAGATTTTCTCGAAGTTATTTTACTTTTGCTCTGTACATTACTATCTATTTCTCCATTAGCATGTTTTCTTTTAAATAAAGTTTAAAAAGTTACAAAAAAAAAAAAAAAAAAAAAAAAACTATGAAAAATTTTTTCATAACTTTAAAATAATTTTTATGTTATTTAACTAGAAAATTATTTTTTCTGATTATCATTAAATAAATAGACAGGAGAAAAAAAAAGGAATAAATCTTTGATGGGTAAATAATAAGTAAATTTTTTTTATAATTGTTTTAAATTTATTTTTTAATTTTGTTACCTGAAATGTAACTGTAAAGCTTCCTTAGATTCTAATTTACTATTACACAAAACGCATTTATGAGAGTTTTTTTCTACCTCTGCCATGCTAATTTTCAAATAAAAATATAATGTACGTAAAATATGAGAGCTGTCATTATTGCGGATGATATTGATTGTTTATTTATTATTTGCAAAACTTTTATACTTGGGCGACACAATTAAAACTAATACAATTTTCACTTAATTATAATAATTTTCAACAATTAAGTTTTTAAAAAAAAGCAACGGTAATGAAAGTATTTTATTTTATATTTTTCGCATATATATATTGATATTTATCGATTTTTTAATGATCATTTAATAAGAAAAAGCAGTTGTCCGAATAAATTGTTTATTTTCATTTTATTTTAATTTTTTCATAAGTTGGCGACATTTACGCATTCGTTATAACTTTTGAAATGTGACAAAGTAAAACTTACAAGATGGCAGGAAGAACATAAATTGGAAAAAAATTTTCCTTATTTTCGGATATAGCTTGATGAAAATAATGAAATCGTTTAAAAATATACTTAAAATTATAACTAAACGAAAATCACGAAGAAAAGCAACAAAATTTTGATATTGAATTAAAGAAAAAAACGATTTTTTTTTTTACAAAGTAACGAATCAATTGTTTAAAAAATTTCCGTTAAATTCAAATCACGGAAGTAAAATTATTTATTTATTTTTTTTTTTTGAAATTATTAAAAATCAATCGTCATATTGTGTGTTTTGCCCAAAACCCGCTTGTTTTTTTTATAAGGTATTCAAAATTCTAACGATAATTCAACAAATACAAAATATAATAATAATAATAATAATAATCAATAATAATTTCAAATTTAAACAATAGATTAATATTACCGTCTTATTTTAAAAAATTGAAAAATGTATTTTTTTTTTTTTTTAGTTTGAACAAGAAAAGAAAATCTCGAATTTCAATCAAATCAGTATATTTTTGAATCGTCGTCTACTTTCAAGGCACTCAATATTTCAATTTCAGGTATGGTCGATGTGGTTTGTTTGAGACAATAATTTTGATTGTTGGCATCACCCTCTAGTAAATCCGTTAGCCAATTTATCGCTTGTATTTGTGTGGCATTTAAATAACGTTTTTCCGGCGCCTCGGATTTTTCAAGCATTAAAGATTTCAACAGTGACAAAAACCTTATCGAGTGTAAATTATCGTGCAATTGTTTCTGACTCGTTTTTATTATTCTTTTAAATAAAATGGCTCCGTGACCGATGACGTTTATCAATTTTTCCTTTTCCTCATCCAGCGATGATGATTCCCCCCTCGATGTTAATTTACAATAAACCTCTGCGTTCTCGGAAAAATCATAGTACGAAAATTTCGATAAATAATATTTCAAACAAAATGTTAACAAATTGACGAGACATTCGGTCACGTCGAAACATTTATCCTCGTTCGCGAGCGAATTGACAGGTAGCCATTTTATGTTTTTGCATTTTGGATTTCTCATGGAATTATTCAACCATTTGATTATCGAATTCGTCGTTTCCCATATTATTTTATTGCTCGAGGGAAGGCAAGCGAGTCCCATGATTTGCATGCATAAAAGTTTCAAGGGGCATGCGTTTTTTGTGAAAAACATGGCTTGTCTGAGAGATGAATCCATGTAAAGCGAACACGAGTCCAACGTGGCTTTCCGACACAGATTCATCATGAAATTCAAATGATTTTTTCCACACGATAAAACGTTGACGATTTCAATTAAAACGTCCAATTTGGGCCGTGAAAATATCAATTCTTCAACGATTTCGTTGATCGATTTCAACGTGGATTCCGTAAGATTGTCTTCCAGGAGTAGCCTTTGTAGTATGTATGATATCCCTACTAGAACACCCGTATAACTCAAAGGCCTCCTCAATGTTCCTATCGTGGCTGCCAAAGTTTTTAAAATTGTTATGAAATTTGGCTTGTTTTTAACGTGATCAACGGCAACTTGTGATGTTATCATTAAAGCATACACCAATGCCAAAGTACGCCTTCCTTCGATTCCGCATTCTTCCGCAGAGAGCTTTTTACCCTGTAATAATTCTTTTATTTTCAATACTTTAACTTCTCTTTCATTTTCTAATAGGTATTCGTCTAAATACTCGTAATTTTCAACGTGTACACTTTTTAAAAACAAAACAACTTCTTTGACGTGTTCTAAAATTTTTTCTATGTGATTTAATATTTCATGAATCGTTCGTTTGGCTTTTTTATCGTTGAAACTTTCGTAAATAAAAAGACTGCTTATAGAATCGTATAGATCTTTGAGGAATGTTTTTTGTTTGGGTAAATCAAACGATTTATATTTTTCTCTTTTACCAAATTCCAACTTTGATCTGTAATAATTAATTTCACTTTTGAATGTGTAAAAATGGGAAACGCTCGGCTCTTCGATAAATTGAAATATTTCCGGGCATAGACACTCTTCCAAATGTTTTCCTTCGTGCGGTGAAAAAATTTTATATTCTAAATCTAAAAAATTTATATCAGACTTGAGGGATGGATAATAATCATCAATTTTGTTGTCTTGTGCGAGTTCCATATTTTGATTCAACATTTGTGAAAATGTATTACAAGATTTCATTGTTTCACACTGAGATGCATTGATATCGTTGGATTTACTTTTGGTCATGGTGTATTCCAACTGTCTAAACCTGTCGCTCAATGTTTTAAATTCCATATCCTTAAATTGTAATTTCGTTTTGAACGTTTCTAATTCACGTTCCGTTAAGGTAATTTTTTCATTGTACTTTTTTTGAATTTCTTCCATGGCTTTGATGCTGTTAACAGCAGCAGCTTGTTTTATTTCTTCATTTTGTTTAAGTTGTGACCTGAGAATGTGAACCTCACCCTCTTTTGTTTTGTATTTTTCTTGAAGTTGCAAAAATTCTAATTTTAATTTTTCTAATTCTTCTTCTTCATCAGATTTTAAATTTATTCTTTTCGAAGCAGGTGATCTTTTACTTTTATTCGATAAATTCACTTTGGTTTGTTCTAATTTTTCAGGAGCAGGTTGACAGTTTGCCATGGCCTGAGAAAGATCTGCAACCAAACAGACTTTCTCAAAGATTTCCCCACAAAACTCATCATCCCAATCGGGCTCATTGGAAGTGTTGCCATTTGACCTATTTTCCAGCGACTTATTCGGTGTATTGTGTTTGACATATTTATCAAAGGAGCTACTGGGTGTTGTTGAAAATTCATGGCTGTCATGGGCGACTTCCTGATTTTTTAAACTAAAATCTAATTTTGGCCTTTTTGATAAAGGAGAATTTTTTCCTATAGATCTTTTTTGTCTAATACTGCTTCTATTCATTTTATTTATTTACATTAATTAGAATTTTCTTGAGGTTTTTCACCAAATACTTCGCATGTGATTTGTACAAGGCTCTCTACCTGATTGTCAGTTAATCTTTCTTCACTCTCTTCTACAACCTATTATTAATTAAACTCAATAAATATTGGAACCTCTTTTAGAATTTAAAACAAAATAAAATAAAATTCTTACCAACTGAATTTCTAAAGGTGTGGTTGGTGGATTGTTAACAAACATAAGCTTTTCTGCTTTAGACAATGGAATTTGATGTTCTAGAAATGCTTTCAGGTATTGTTGAACACTTTCCTCAGATTGAGATGCACAAGGTTTGTCTTCCAAATATTTTGTAGTCTATTAGTAGACAATAAAATTTCAACATTTTAAATTTAAATTAATTAAATAATAAATAAAAAATTTATTTTGCGCTGGAATTCATGATCAAATTAATTCATGATTTAAAAATAAATTTTATATAAATTACAATTCGTACCTCATAGGTTATAGTAGCCAGCTGACTTTGACTATTCTTTTTATGTTGACCCTTTATTTGTCTGAGTAAATTAAAAACTTCGAAATTACTTAATTGCAAAGCGTTGGGATTAACCCTAAAATAATTAATAAATAAATAATTTCTTTATTATTATTAAAATCATTAACCACGCGAAATTATTTATATGACTTACACTTCCATGTCTCTCGAACCCAAATATTATAATTTATCGCCAGACTTAAAACATATAATTAATAAATAAATTCATTTTATAATTTAATAACTCTTAACATTTAATTAAACACACGCAAAAAATAGAAAAATTATTTAAAACATAAGAAATATAAACAGTTTCATCTGTCATAACATAAATAAAGTGACTCCATAGATGTCACACAAATAATGACAACCATAGACGTCGATAATTTCTAATTAAAAACTGGGTCAATTTTTTATTTATAAAATGTTGAGATTAGCAATTTAAGGAAAAAAGTGACAATAAATGGTAAGAAATATTCATTTTATTATTTAAAAAAGGATAATTTATGTAAAAGGAATCAAATCACGTATGGTTTAAAAATAAATAAACGTAAAATTATATTCCTGCCCATTTAAGGCATTCATAAGATTTATATTTTAGATTTTTGATTACAATTAATTACAAAATATAAGTGAAAAAAAAAACGATGTAAATTTTTATAAAACAAAGATCAAAAAAAAAACGAAAAACAAATTACAAAAAAAAAAATTTTCAAAATAAACGGTTACAAAAACATTTTTTCAAATGGATGATAATAATAATCAATGTGACGTAATTTAAACGGAAACGGATTTTCTCGACCGGTTTCGTCGTGGTTTAAGTTTTAATATTCTGACATTATTACAAGAATTTGATCTTCTTATTTCATTTCCAGGAGAATTCATTGTAACTTCCGTAACTGGCCTTTCCAAATAATAAACACTCACACCTAATTCCGAACGATCTCTTCTGACATGTCCCATCCTAGGGAAAAAAAAGGTTTTGTTTTCAGTAATTTTTAATGATCCTTTTCAATCAAATTCTTTAACGGATGAAAATTTTATAATTACCAAAGCATAAATTGCGGCACAGGTCGTCTCTCTTTGAGTTTAATCAATGCAATAAATGGAATTATCGACATTAAAGTACAAATGAATAATTTAAGTACTCTTGGCAATAGTAAAACTTGTGCAATCGGATGTAAATTTTTTATATCAGACACGTTAACGTATTTGTTAAAAGGAGCTATACCAGTCACAACCTATTAGAAAAAGAAAGGGGAAAAAAAAACAACAAACAAACATCCATAAAATTGTATTATTAATGTATGTATGAATGATAAATATTTCACTAATAAAATCTTACATAAAAAAATACAAATGGAATTTTAATAAAATCACGAAAACCTTTTGATATCATGGGTATCGTATCCAAATTTAAATTTGAACCTTCAGCAATGCCCATACCCCAAGGGCAAATCAACGATAACTGAATAATCAAATAATCAATAATAATAATAATAATAACCGGTAAAATATACAAAATAATAATAATAGGGATAACTTGCCTGTTTTTGATAATATTTAAATAAACCATTTAATAACACCAATGTCGACAGCCATATTCTTATGCACTGATAAACAAGCATAAGTATTAATATTTCCTTTAAAAAAAAAAAAATTATATGGATAAGTGTCAAAAAGGTGAGAAAAGGTTTGAGAAAGGTGAGAAATTTAGAGAAAAAAAAGGATCGATTTGATATCAATTAACACGTACCTGCCAAGGTATTTGAAGCAACAATTCTCTACCTACTCTTCTGTACAATTGAGGCCTGATATTTATTGTTATTATGTGATGTATTAATAATGCTATTCCGACGAAATAAATAACGGATGGAAATATGCTTATTAATGTTTCGCCGCATTTGAGGGAATGAAGTATGTCGTAAAATTCAGGTGAATTTTGTTGAGATTTTAATATGTTTTGTGATGAATCTCCTCCTCCCCCTCCTCCACCACCACCTTCTCCTTTTATACCAACACCAATGTAACTAAAAATTTGATTTAACGGCATTTTCTAAATGAAAATAATAATATTTACAATTTAGACATATTGAAATTGATAAACCATTTTGAAAATCAATTGTTATGCCAAAGTGTTTAAATTTATTTATTATGCAAGTGAAAATTTATTAATATTTCTTTTTTAATTTTTTTCGATATTTTTATTAATTTTCTACTTAGTAATAATAATAATAATAATAAAATATCTCTCGCTGGAATATGTGTCGTGAATATGAAATAGTCAAAAAATGGTAACACCACATTCCAAACTCGGTTGCGACAGGAGGTTCATGCACTTGGGAGGGGCTGGGAGTCGTGGCGTGCTCCTGTAATCCAGCTACTTGGAGGCCGGGTGCAGCGGATGTTTATTCTTAAACAGACCTGTTCCCTACCAATCTCGGGGTAGACGACGTGGACCCCGGCATCTGTTCATTCTGTTCAGAGATACGACCGGATGTCTGGATTCATCGTTCGATCTTCGGGAACAGGGGATCGCGAGCGGAAAGAACGAGGGGTGATTCAAGGCCCCCCACAGATCGACTCGTCTTTGGAAACTTACGATTTCAGCAAGCGATTCGTAAGCGAGGGACCGCATCGCGAACGAATCGCTCCCCACAGCGTAAAGAAGCTCGAGATGACGACGGCAACGGCTCCGGCGGGCGTCGACGTCGGATGCTGCGACGGTGGATTTTCGAAACTCAAAAGAGGAGAAGAAGAATTCATCGATGAGGTGGCAGGGGCGAGATTCGAAGGAATTGCGGGGGTGCCTCGGAGAAGCCCGGACTCTGCGGTTTATTGCCCGTCTCCCCGAAGTTCATCTCGTCGCTGTGAAGGAGGCGGGAGCGACGTGGCAGGTCGCGACCGTAACCCGAGGCACGAGGGAGGAAAGGATTCGTCCCGGTACTCCGCGTCGGGCTCCGGTTCTCTTACTTGATTCCGTCGGGGGGAGATCCGTCCCGCCTTCGGTGCGTGGGCTGATAGTGCGTTTTTCCCGACGGCCGGGAGCCGCGGCTGATTCCTGTGATCCAGCCTACTGGAGGCAAAGTGCACTGGATGTCCTAAGACCTGTACTAAATCGGGGGAACGCCGAGGGTCGGGGTAATTCTTATCTTTTCAGGTATTGGCATCTCCGGATCATCATCAGCGAAAAAAAAAAGTTAAGATGCGATGCGGAAAGAATGCGGGAAGATCGGCCTTCCCCCCTACACGAATCGACCCGTCTCTCTGGATGCTAACATCTTACACTCACAACGCACGAGAAGTCCGAAAATTACTAAGAGAAAAAGACAGGAAATTTTCGCGGCTTAAAAGCAAAGGTAGGTGATCTTTGATCATCTCTAAGGTGGCAGGGACGCGAAGCGGACGGACTACGGGGACTTCGGCGGGAGTAGCGAACCCGTCGGATCTCTCCGTCTCCAGAAACTCGTTTCTCTGCGGAGGAAGCGGGAGCAACGTGGCAGGTCGCGACCGTTTTCCCGTTAGCGCGAAGGGGTCGGGATCCGGGTCTCCTTCTCGATTACGTCGGGGGGAGATTCGCCCCGGTCTCTCGGACCAGTTGGGGTCCGTTCTTCGACGGCCGGGGGTCGCGGCAGACTCCTGTGATCCAGCTTCCAGGAGTCAAAGCGCAGCGGATGCTCGCAGACCTGCGCTAAGTTCGACGGTCGCCAGGGGACGGGGAATTAATCATCTATTTACAGGTGCGTGTCTTCGATTTCCCACCAGCGAACAAATGGGAACGCGTGGAGGATAGACGACGACGGGATCGGGCGGGAGTAGCGAACCCGTTCGATGTCGTCCCTTCCGGAAACCCGCAGCTTCCCGCAACCGAGGCGCGAGCGATGTGGCAGATCGTTCCGTCTCACTCAGAGCGACACCGAAAGAAGAAGATTCGAAGAGGAAACGATGGCGACGAAGATTCTTCGGACGGCTGGGTGCTGCGGCGGCGATCGCGAAGTCGTCGTCGACAAGTACTCATTCACTTATTTCCAAACATTTCTTGGGGGTTCGGCGATCCCGGTCGATCCCTCGTCTGTCTTTTCCCATTATCCAGGTACCCTTAATATTAGAGGATGCGATCAACTAACACTTAACTTTTAGCTTTGCCTTTTTCAGGAGACGACGGTAGGTCTATACCCCCCACCCGATCGCATTCTCAGGAAACAGGCGAGTTTCCCATCCCTTTCCCCAACGTGAAAAGGGCCGGAGGGCAATCCCGAAAGGGGCTTGCCGAACGTCCTGGGAAATGCGTTCTCGTCTTCGAGGTGACGGCGGAACGGAGACTAGGACAAATCTCCCACCAATGTAAACGTGTGGAACGGTTAACGTTCTGGCTTCCCGGAGAGGGGACTGACTGAAATGTCGGTACAACTCCAACGACCGTCCTCCCCCTCTTCACATAAGCCACGCTATTGCGACGCGCTCAGGAGTTTTAGTGAGTATGGTTCCCTTTCTTCGAATCCATACCGAGCCCCACACTCTCTCTTCGGAGGGGTAAGTGCGTGTTCTGCATTTCTCCTGAGATATCAAAAAAAAAAAAAAAAAAAAAAAGGAGGTCCGTGCACTCGCACATCGCCAGTTCGTCGGCAGAAAAAGACTTTTGATCAAACGGGGAGGACGTAACGAGGACATCGTGAGTGACAACGAACTCGCGCGTTTAAAGGCGGAGTGGAGGGCTTCGCGGGTTCGGGTCCGCCGAGCGATATGGAGTTCCAAGGAGCGTGTTGGAAGGAACTCTTGAACGAAGCGGATTCGGGTCCGTGGGGTCTCCCGTTCCAACGGCCGGCATGACGGAGGAGTTTCTCGCAGAAGTGATCGCAAAGCTCTTCCCTCGCGTCGAACCGTTCGCGTTTCCCCCGGCGGATCTCTCACACGACATGAACCGCGACCGCGACACCGAAGTGGCGGAGGGGGAGGTTCGCTTTCTCCTCGACGCGGCCTCGAAAAGGCGCTCGGCTCCGGGCCCGAACGGCGTGCATTACCGCATCCTCGGCGAGTCCGGCGCTCTACACTGCGTGCTTCCGAGGGGCGACATTTCCGACTCCGTGGAAAGAAGCGAACTTAGTTCTCCTTCACAAACCGAGTAGGGATCCGACGACGCCGAGGGGGTACCGGCCGATTTGCCTTCTCGACGTAGAGGGTAAGTTATTCGAGCGCGTGATCGCGTCCCGGATAGACGAACACTTACGATCAGGGAGAGGGAGGAACAACCTCTTTCCGAATCAATACGGCTTCCGAGCGGGCCTTTCGACGACCGACGCACTCGACCGCGTGTGCGCCGGAATACGGGACACTCTTCGGCGGGGCGGCGTCGCTATCGCCGTCTCGGTCAACATCAGAACCGCGTTCAATTAGGTACCTAACCGCGGTCCGCGATAAGGGACGGGCTTACGTCGAAGTCCGTATCAGACTACCTGGCGTCGATCATCGGTTCATTCCTCTCGAAGAGGAAGATCGCGTACGAGAAACCGGACGGAACGACGGGAAGGCGGACGTCTTCTGCGGTGTGCCTCAGGGATCGGTTTTAGGACGACTCCTGTGGAACATCGCCTACGACCGCGTCCTCACCCGGACCGTTCTTCCCGAAGGCGTATCGTTGACTTGTTACGCAGACGACACTTTGCTCCTTGCGACCGGTCGCGGGTGGGCGGAGGTTCGCGAACGCGCCGAAACGGGACTTCACGCGACGGTGGAGGCCATCCGGGGCATCGGACTCCGGGTGTCTCTGCCGAAAACGGAAGCGTTCGGGTTTCATCGTCCGCGAAACCTGCAACCTCGCGACATTTCGATAAGCGTAGACGACTTGAGAATTGGATAGGGGGGCACTCTGAAATACATGGTTTTGGTTCTCGACTCCGGTCTCTGATTCGGCGAACATCTGGCGCACCTCGGACCGAGGATCCGAGCCATCAGCGCGACGTTAGGACTTCTGCGATGCCGAACCTGCGCGGACCGCAGGGCCAGGTCAGGCGATTGTACGCGATGGTCGTTCACTTCGTGGCCCTGTACGGAGCTCCGATCTGGGCCGAGTCAGTTTCGGCTGCTCGGCCTCTTCGCGAGAAGGCAATCCATTTTCAAAGGGCGTCTCTGAACAAGGTGGCGATGGCGTACAGAGACGTCGCAGCGGAAGTGGCTTGTCTTCCGTCGGGCACTCCCCCGCTTGATCTCCTCGCGATGGAGAGACTCGTCTTCTATCGCGAGCGGGATCGCGGCGGGCCTAAGACATCGCAGGGAACTTCGTGCTCTTATTCTTAACACTTGGCAGGCGCGATTCAACGACGGTCGGAAACGTTACGGGGGGAAATCATTAACGTTCTTGGCCCCCGAGTGGGGGACTGGGTGGAGCGGGATCATGGAAACTTGACTTATCGTCTCACCCAGGTCCTCACGGGTCACGAGGCGTTCGGCTCGTACTTGGCGCGTAAAAAGTAAAATTTTTTTGACGTCACATCGCTCTCCCTTCTCCATCAAATTTCCCCGAAAAAGGAACAGAACAAAACGTTCGATAAAAAATGAACGCCATTTTTTTTAAATAAAAAATGATGTCATCGATTTCAAAATGCAACAAGTCGAATTCAATTAAAATAAAATAAAAAAATCTCTTAGTCATCGTTCATATAAAAGGAAAATTTTTTTTTTTAGTACAATTTATTAAACAAAACTTTTAAATTTTATCATTATTATTATTATTATTAATTTTTTTTTTTATACGCAACGAATTTGATAAATTTTTGACCATAATAATAATAATAATTGTAAGGTAGCGTGCAACGGTTGACATGCGTTTACGTCATGTCGACTTATTTAAATAATTTTAATTGTTTTATTTAATAATTTATTTATAAATTATATATCAATAATTTTGTAATTAAGTCTAGTTTATTGTGATGTAATTAGTTTTTTATATTTTTTAGTAATAATTATATTATTTTATGTTTAAATATACAAATAGTCTGTAACTTTTGTAACAAAAATAAAACTGATTTAATAAAAATATTTATTAATTTAAAATATTTATTGATTTAAAATTTTTGTACACCTGACTTTAACTATAAATCCACACCTCCATTTTCACTCGTGATTTCAAAAAAAAAACCTCTTCATTCTTATGTTTTTCTAACGTAAACAAAAACAACAACAAAAAAAGTCAACAACGACAACAACAACAACTACAGGAGAAGGAAGAGAAGGAAGAAAAGGACAGGAAGTAGGAGAAGAAGGAGAAGAAGGAGAAGGAGTAAGAGAAGGAGGAGAAAAAGAAAGAGAAGGAGGAGAAGGAGAAAGAGAAGGAAGAAAAGGAGGAGGAGAAAGAGAAGGAGGAGAAAGAGAAGGAGGAGAAGTAGAAAGAGGAGGAGGAGAAGGAGAAGGATTTATTAAAATTGTTAAAAATTTTTTTTTTTTTGTGATAACACATCATCAAACATAATTTTTAAATAATTTCGATTGTTTGTTGTTGTTGTTTGTCGGACAAAAAAATGAATAGAAAAATTTTCAAAATTCCCTTAAACATAATAAAAAAAAACAAATCGCGACGTCTGCGTCTTCTTACATTTCCAAAACTTTTTTAATGTCATCAACCTTAAAGGTTCGAATGATTTTTCCCTTCGGGAAAAAATTTTTTTTTTTTAACCGAACTGTGTGCAACGATTTAAAAAACAATAAATAAATTTATTAAAAAAACGCATTCGTAATTCTCACATCAGTATATAATAAACCCTAGCCGTCGGCCAACAAACCGGATATCATCCTGAGGTATAATACGGAAAAGTGGTGTAAACTGATTGAACTATCCGTGCCGGCAGAAAAAAACACGAGACAGCCTTTTTTTACGCCTTCATTTTCACTCTTGATTGGTTAATTTAAGGTATATAAACCATACGCCCACGTGGCGTTTTCTTTCGGGGCTCCTCGAAGCTCGGGGGCGGGGCAGCCTCCTCGTCCGACGGGCTCCGCGTCGTCCCGCCCCGGCGGAGCCTGAGATCGTTCGACGACGAACGGCTCACCGAGTGTCTCGCTGCGGAGGCCTGGAGAGACGAAGTTACTCCAGGCGCAGGAAGAAGAAGCGTGCACGACATGGCGCGGGGAGTCCAGAACGACCTACGACGGATCTCGGACTCCTGCATGAAGAGGATCGGCTCGCGCTCGAAAACGCGGAAACGGCCGAAGTACTGGTGGTCGGACGAGATAGGAGAATTGTGGAAAGAATCCTGCCTCGCACGTCGCCGGTTCGTCGGCAGAAAAAAACATTTGATCAAACGGGGAGGACGCTACGAGGACATCGTGAACGACGACGAACTTGCGCGTTTAAAGGCGGAATGGAGGGCTCCGCGGGTTCGGGTCCGACGAGCGATATGGAGTTTCAAGGAGGCGTGTTGGAAGGAACTTCTGAGCGAAACGGTTTCGGATTCGTGGGGTCTCCTGTTCCGTCTCCTGACTAACAAACTGAGGGGTTCGTCGGGATCGCTGATGGCCGGCATGACGAAGGAGTTTCGTGCTGAAGTGACCGCAAAGAGTTCTTCCCTCGCGTTGAACCGTTCGCGTTTCCCCCCGGCGGATTTCCCGTACGACGTAAATCGCGACACCGCAGTGACGGAGGAGGAGGTTCGCCTTCTCCTCGACGCGGCCTCGAAGAGGCACTCGGCTCTGGGCCCGAACGGCGTGCATTACCGCATCCTCGGCGCTCTACACTGCGTGCTTCCGAGGGGCGACATTTCCGACTCCGTGGAAAGAAGCCAACTTAGTTCTCCTTAACAAACCGAGTAGGGATCCGACGACGCCGAGGGCGTACCGGCCGATTTGTCTTCTCTATGTAGAGGACAAGTTGTTGGAGCGTGTGATCGCGTCCCGGATAGACGAACACTTACGATCAGGGGGAGGAAGGAAGACCTCTCTCCGAATCAGTACGGCTTTCGGACGGGCGTTCGACGACCGCGTGTGCGCCGGAATTCGAGACACACTTCGCCAGGGCGGCGCCGCGATCGCTGTCACGGAAACTTGACCTATCGTCTCACCCAGGTGCTCACGGGTCACGGGGTGTTCGGTTCGTACTTGGCGAATCGGCAGAGAGGAGACGGCGGAGTGTGCTCCCGAGGACGACGTTGAACACACGGTAGCACACGATAGCAGTCCCTCGTGGGACGGACACAGGCAGCGGATTGTCGGAGTCATCGGACCCGACTTGTCAATCCGCGGCCTCGTGGACGCGTTGCTTCGCGGACTCCGGGAATGGTCCGCGATTTCGCGATTTTCGGAAGCGGAAAAGAGGACCGCGAACGCGAGAGCGAAAAATCTGTAGTGCGCCGTCGTTTGCTCCGTACGAGAAAAAGAAAAAGGAAAAGTGAAGACGAAGACGGCGGCAAAGAAGAGGATAGTCAGAAAAAACGCCGTCTGAAAATCAATAGTTAAAATAATTAATAAAAAAAGTGAAAAAGTGTGAAGTGCGGTAAGAAATCTACAATAGAATGATCACTATCGGATTACGGCGACGAACTTAGCTTCGTTGTCGGTAAATAAAAACTTTCTTATTTCTAACATTTCTTGGAGGATCGACGACCCCGGTCGATCCTTCGTCTATCTTTTCCCGTTATCCAGGTACCCTTAATATTAGAGGATGCGATCAACTAACACTTAACTTTCAGCTTTACCAGGGAGATGCGTTCTCGTCTTCGAGGTGATGACGGAACGGAGACTAGAACAAATCTCCCACCAGTGTAAACGTGTGGAACGGTTAACGTTCTGGCTTTCCGAAGAGGGGACTGACTGAAATGTAGGTACAACTCCAACGACCGTCCCCCCCCCCCTCATCATATAAGCCACGCTATTGCGACGTGCTCAGGAGTTTCCAACCACATTCAATAAAAGGAAATTTTTTTTGGATATAAAAAAAATAAACGAAAAAAATTATTATTAACAAAAAAAAAAAAATACAAATATATTTATTCGTAGTAGCAAACAAGCTCACGGTTAGTATTATTATTACATATTTTTTTAAAAAAGATTTTACTTATAGCAAATGCGTTTGAAAATGAATCAAAAAAGAATAAAAATAATGTAAAAATAAAATAATAATAATAATAAAATTGGAATACTCGAATTAAATTTTACTTTCTACTAACAATGTAAAATTAGTACAAAAAAAAAAAGAAAGTAGTATTAAGGCAAGTTGTTATACATACTCTAACATATTATATATTTATATTCATTTATATAAATTATAAAAAAAAATTATGGGTACGTTTATACGCAAAAAAAATATATAAAAAAAAAAAAACTTTAAAACATTAAAACAAAAATTTAAAGCGCTCTCATTCTAAAAAAAAAATTAACAAAAGTTTACAATCTCTTACACTTAATAGAATAATTTAAAATCTAACAAAAAAAAAAAAAAATGATTAATAATAATAATGATGATGATTAATCTTCGTTTTTAAAACGATGATAAATCGATTGTACGTATGTGAAAACGCATTTCCAATCGGGTTTTCTCATCATTACCATATCTTCAACGTCGAGGAGAGGTGCAATGTTTGCTTTATCCCTACAAAAGAGAGAGAAAGAGAGATAATGTCAATTACAATGAAAAAGACAAGGATAAATTCATAGTATTCTATATATTATACTCACTCGGCTATTCTAAAAGCAAGTTCGAAATTTTTTCGTCTTTCATTCGGCGACAATGAATCGTAATCGAAAGCTTCGGGTCGAAAATGATGAATGAGAGCGCAAAATGCCAAACCGTTACTCCAACTCGTCGAAAAGTTTTCTATTTGAATGTTCTATTTCGAAAATGAAGAGAGAGAGAGAGAGAGAGAAAGAGAGAGAAAGAAAAAAAATAAATAAAATTAATCCATGTGACTTATTATTATTAAGATAATGTGAAAATGCGCAGGTGAAAGCTCAGGAACCGGCGATCCTTTTACGTTTTTTTTTTTTTTTTTTTTTTTTGTTGAAATGTGCTTTCTCGTGTGAATAATAATAATAATTATTATTATTAATAAAAAAAATTCGCGATCGATCCGGAAAATTTTGTACGAAACGAAGGTAGTTTAGCTAAATTTTCCGAAAAAGGAATAAAAAAAAACCTTCCGTCAAATAGTTAACAAAATCATTAATAAAAACTCAAAATAATTAAAAACGAATCGTTACCGTTTCACCAGCAAGTTAAAAAAAAAAAAAAAAAAAAAAATTTCAATGCCACAAAAACAAATATGGCGGCGAAAGCGCATTTTCTGTAAATTGATGCTTCCCCGTGGTTTTTATACCAGGATTTGACGAGCATCAATCGAAAGCAAATAAAATAAATCTTAAAAATTTTCCCGCCGTTTTTTTTTCTTTCCCATCGTCTGCTATCACGTTTACGGCTTAATTTTAACTTTTGTAAAATATCCCCCCCCCCCGTGTAAATGAACACTTTTTAAATTCATTTTGAATTTTTTTTCAAGTTGAAAAAAAAGACAACAAACGAAACGCGCGCGTTTTTCAAAATTACGGCAACGAATTAAACGACACGAACGCCAATCAGCAACAGGGAAAATAGTCACGTGATGCGCGTTCGTTCGTTCGTTCTCCATTATAAGCACGTTAATAAAAAAAATTTTACCCCCTTCCTTCCCCTTCCCTTTCGCTCCACCAATAAAAAACCTTTATTTTAAACGTAACCGTCACGTTTGAAAAAAGAATAGAATGCAGCAGCAGCAGCGCCCTCTTTAAACACACAAAAAAAAAACAAGCAATCGTATGGCGTGATTGTTGTGTGAATTATTACTGTTAACAAAACAAAACCAAAAAAAAAAAAGCCGTTAGAAATTATTTGTTTTTTACTTAAAATTTAAAAAAAAAAAAAACCTAAAAAAAAAAAACAAAAACGTGGATTTATATTAAATAATCATGCTGTGAGTTATGTAAGTGAAAGCACGTAATATTTTTTTTTTTTTGTCTAAGGTGGATGATGGATACCTTGTATTCTTTGGTCTTGCTTTGACACCACTGGAGAAGTCGATCCTTGGCACCGGATGCAGAACGACACAGTTTTGGATCGGTGAACGTGAAGTATGGCGCATTACCAGCGCTCGGGGAGCTAAAGGTTAGTACAAGCTCTTTCATAAATTTATTAAATTAATCATTTTTTTATTTTAATTTTCTTCATTGAAAGGACTCAAAGAGAGAGAGAGAGATAGAGAGAGAGTGAGAGAAAAGCAGAAACCTTCGTAGATGCTTTTACAAATTTTGTAATATTTACGAGGAAACAAAGTAAATGAATGGAAGAAAACAGATAATAATAATAATAATAATCCCGTTAAATTCTCTTATATATATTTATGTATATATGTTTTACTGGGAATTAGAATTTTCAACCTTTCCCACCATAAGAAAAAAAAATTAAAAAATAGTAAAAAGAAGTGAACGTAAAACAGAACGAGAAACACTTTTCCAGGAGAAAATTTAATGAGAGAGAAAGAAAGAGAGAGAGAGAGAGAAACTTATTCATATCAAATACCATAAAAAAAAAAATAAGGTTCAACCAGACCGGATAGATATAATATAATTCGCATGAATGATTTTCTTTCTTTCCCTACTATCAACTGTACACAAAAGGAAAACAAAAAAAAGGAAAACAAACTTTTAAAATTGTTAAAATACATACCTTGGCGTTGAACCTGAATTTTGACGATCTAACTGTTGAAATTTTGCAAATGGTGATATTGGTTTGTTAGTAGAAGGAGCTGAAATAATTTATTATTATTATTATTAATTGTTAATTTTTTTTTTTTTATATTAAAATAAAAAAAATAATAATAATGATGATGAAGAGATTCGTCGTCGACTATGTACAATTAATATAAGAACATTAATTATATACAAAGTGCTATTTATATTTATTAATCATCATTATTTAATTATTATCATTATTATTATTATTAATACCGTGTGATTATAAGTAAAAAGTGCTCAAATTAAATTTTTTTTTTTTTTTTAATAGTACTGTACAACAACCTCGTTTATATATAAAATTAATAACTAAACATTATCATTATTATTTGGAAAAGGCACGTTAATAAGTGGAAAATTTTTTTTGTTTTTCCATGTGAGTAACTACGACGATTATCATTAAGTTATTATCATTATTATTATTTAACCTATTTTTTTTTTTAGAAGCCGATTAATTATTATTATTATTCTTTATAATTTAGTAAGTAAGATATAATAATAGATAAATAAATGATTGGAAAATAATTTCCCCCCTCCCCTTCCCTTCCCTTCCCGGTGATGAATGAATGATTGATTGATTGCTTGTTTGAATATAAATAAGTAAATGTAGGGAATTTTTATTCGCGCCCCCCAAAAATAATTTCGTCTTAATAACTTACGCGATAAACCGTAAAAAAAAATTTATCTTAATTTAAATGCTGAAAAACAAAATGGCGGACGTAACGTATATATATATAAAAAAAAAAAAAATTTATTATTTTATATTATTATATGGAGATTTGCGTGACTTACTTGTGGTGGTCGTAAAAGTTGATTTGGATGTAACTGAAATTAAAAGAAAAAATTATTATTATTATAATTATTAATTTTATTGTTTACGAAGAAAAAGTTGTTTGAAATAATTTGTTAATAAATTCTTACCAACTGTTCTGGATGAACTTCCTGGACTTGATCTTGAAGTCACGACGGTTTCAGAATCTGTTCAGAAAAGGGGGAGAAAAAAAAAAAAATTAACGATTATTGTCAACGTAAAAAAAAATATTCAATAACAAATATTTTACGTGATTGACTACAGATGGCACTTTTGAGCAAAAAAGGAGGGAAAAAAACAGGGAATTTTGTCGTCACTTGTTAACGAATGTCGAAAACAAAACAAAAATGACACCATTTTAATAATAATGTACAAAAAAAAAGAAAACGTATTTACATAAAAAAAAAAAATGTCACGGCTCTGTACAAGTTAGCTCGAATAATAAAAAAAAAAAAGCTCAAATTACATGCGTACCAACATTTCAGCTATCATTCCACTTCTACCAAAAAAAAAAAAAAAAAAAAAAAAAGTTCTACAACTTAACACGGCTAAAATTAAACACGCGGACAAAACAAAGTTCTAAAAAAAAAAAAAAATGGCGGGAAAACCAAGATATAACTGAAATTCAAATGCTTAATTAAACAAAAAAAAAAAAAAAACAATTTTTATCTACTGCCACGTTGCTACGAATTGTTAGGCAATGTATGAAAAAAAAAAAACCAAAAACAAAAAAAAAAAAAAACAAAATTTTTTTGCTTTTCATCAGCGAATTCGCACGGCTGTTGTTATTATTATTATTATTATTATTATTATTATTGGGTAATTCAAATATTGTTAATGTAAAAACTTTTAAAATGCTACTACTTGTTACTTTCCAATCCATTCCATTTCACTCAAATGTCTTATGCAAAATCATAAAAAGAAACAAATTTTTTTGGTCTTAACTCACGTTGTTCGAAGACATAAACAAACGTCACGTGATGTGTTGTTGTCGTCCATCTTGTATCATTCATTCATCCTCGATTTGATGAAAATAAATCCATTTAAAAAATGCATAACCGTGTCACTTGTCTCACATAACAGATAATTCTTTATTTATTTATTTAAATAATGTTCAATGTAAATACATATACATATCGGCAACAAGTCGATGGCGAGTGTTTTCGTGGATTGGAGAGGAAAACGCGTGTTTGTGTGCGTGTGCGTGCGTGATGACGAACTAACTTTCTTACGTAGCAATGCTTTGGATATTCGGATCGCCTATATAAAAAAACCATTTCGCCTTGCCTTTGATGATTGTCGTGACACGCACGTTTTACTTGTTCCCGCCATTTCTCCCTTGAGAAACGAGAGAAGCAGCCGACATGCTTTTCATTATTTGTTTTCCCTCTTTCGATCTAACGGATTTACCATCATTTTTATCCGTCGTAACCGAGGAAAAAAGTGCATCGAAAGCTTCGTCCACGTTGTCCAAATTGTAATCGAGATCAAGGGTCGATGACGACGAACCGTTCGAAACTTTTTTTTTCATCTTATTCGATTTGGATGTTGAATTTTTCATAGAAAAATATTCTTGAACCGTTTTTTGTTTGCTTTCAACCAAATTTTGATTAATGAAAGCTTCGAATTGTTTTCCTCCTATTCCTAGCGAGTGACTAGATTTTGTCTTTAACAAAGGATTTAATGATACTCTTGGAAGTGCGGGTTGACCATTGTTGAAATCGGGTTGATTCGGTATTATTAAACTTTGCGGTCGTCTGCCTTTTATCGGACCGTTCATCTGATGACACGATTCTGATTTTTGTAAATACGACGAAAAATGTGACGTATCCGGAGAATGCATGCGTCCGTTAGATGGTGACACGTTCATGGGAGAAACGGAAGACGGACTTGTTCCAACGGTAAAACAGTGTGGAATTTGTATCCTCGATATAATCACACCATCATCTTCTTTGTCTAAGATTTCGTCGGAATTTGTTATCAATGATTCTGCAGATGATGGTCTTTTACCCAACGGCTTGCTCGTGATTATTTTGTCCGGAAATGTGGGTTTAAAGGGTTCACCGGGACTTTTATTATTTTGATACAACGAATTATGATTGTTATCGTCTACGCTTGCGACACTTGTCGAGGTGGGTGTTAGGGAACTAGGCGAAAACTTGCCCGTGGGTAGCTTCGGAGGAAGAAGAGGAGATCTTTGAGGTGACGTATTCGAAGATGAACTTAGGGTAGAGGGTGGTTTTTTAGGAGAAAGTAAATCTTTTTGTTCCGAAGGACTCGTCGTTAATTTTTGCAGACTGTTCGTTAAATTTTTAACGGCTGAAAATTTACTATCGTCATCTCGCCATTGAGTTTTCTGTCTGATTGTCACAGCTTGCTGTTGATTCGCGGAACCCATAATTTTACTCACGGCTATTTGTTCTTCAGGAGTGGAAGGACTTTCGGGTCGTGCAGGTAATGGAGAATAACCATTTTCAACGGAACTATCATCGCTGTTGGGATAAACGGTTGATGTTGCCGCAACGTCAACGCTGTATGTGGTTATGGGTTTAAATGATTCCTTTTTAGGTTCTGAAATTTTCGGACATTTCACGGGGCCTATACTCAAAAATGAATTTTGAAAATTTTGTGCTTTTTGTTTTACCGATGGAGCATCGTACCGGAGAATAGGTTCATCGGAAGAAAAATTCATTTGGTTAACTTTAGGTTCGGTGTATTTAACATTTGGATAAGACGGCGTGAACGATTTGGCCTTAGACTGAATCAAAGATGGCTGACTAGGAGATTTAAATAGCAAAGGTGCAATACCTGGACCTAGGATTTGAGGGGTGTGCACTCGATGTGCGGAACTATACAAACTTTCGAATTTGGCCAGAGTCGAATTAACGGAATTTTCACATTGAGCGACTTCATTGTTTTTTATCCAGGGTAAAATTGGATAATTATTATCATTTGAATTTTCCCGAGCGAAAGGATCAAATTTGACCTTGTGCTGATTGGAAGGTTCGTTGAAAATAAATTTCTGTTGATTTTCCACGCCGCGAGTCTCTGATTTTTTTTGAACGGGTTTAAAAGCCGACATGGGAGCGTGCCTGAATTGATTGACGGGTTGAGGAGAAATAGGAGGAAAATAATTCATTTTCGATTTTTCCGGGCAAACCGTCAACGATCCGACAATCACACCGTCACTCGTCGCATTAGCCCACGGTAATTTAACAGAATTTTCCAGAGAGTTTTTCCGATTCAGTAGTAATTTATTTACGAAACTATTTTCACGATTTATTTTATCATTAAATTTTAAATCCGTCGAAGAACTATCGGCACTTTTCGATAAAAATTTCGGACTTTTCACTCTAGCAGTAGTCCGATGTCCAAATTTAACGTCATCATCTTTGATGACGTCAACATTTTCGAAAGCCGTTTTTATTTTATTAAATCTATTTTCCCATTGATCGGGTGATGAATATTTCGAATCTTGTATCGAACGATTCGTCGGATTTTGATGATCTTTTCTCCATATTATATTCGAACTCGACGATTGTGAATTATTCGCTATAAAAGGCAATTAATCATTTTTTAACAATTTTATAACTTCAATTAGAATTTCAAATTTAAAAAAAAATTTTTTTTTTTTTTTTATTGTTACGTCACACGAGTCCTACAGCGTTTTTTTTTTAATTTGTTACCTGATTTCTCGTCATCATTTCCGGTGACGCCATCACACGATTTTGCCATTTTCAATAGTTTTTGTGCGTGACAAATGCTATTTTCCGTACTCGTTGATGATATCGACATTTCGCTTTCCGTACGCGAAACATCTCTCGCCATTTCTCCTCCAGTATGATTCCAGTCTTTCGTCACAGGTTTAGATTTTAAATCGGTTGTTGTTTGTCGTCGTCGCGTCGTCGAATCATCATTAGAATGTAAAATTTGATTTTTAATTTTTTTTTTATTTTCCGCAGCATCCAAAGCTTTTCGTTCTCTGTAAGCTTTTTCCAATTCTTCGATCGATCTTCCTTTGGGCCTGCTACGATGTTTGTTTTCATTTTGAATTTCCTGTATTCGTCTTTCGACATTGTTTATTATAAAATTTTCCTTATTCGAATGATTATTTCCCGTCGTCCGTTTCATTATTTCATTATTTGTATATTCTTTATTATTATTATTACTACTTAATCTTTTTCCCGTTTTGTTTTTAAATGATGGTGATTTTATATTGGATTTTTTTTCATTATTTTCATCACTCGAAGATGATTCGTCGTCGCTACTCGTCATCATCGTCGACTCGCTACTTTCCGTCGTGCTCATCCCATCTTTTTTATATTTATTTTCTTTTGACGATCGTCTGCTACCACTTATCACAGGTTTATTAGATTTTAAAGTATTATTTAAACGATTATCACAATCACTAATACTCGTTGAATTTTTTATTTTTTTACTTTTTATTTCATCGGCATCCTCCTTTCCAGAAATTTCGTTTCGGTTGAAATTTATTTTATCAGAACCTTTCGTCGGATTCTCGCGACCGAAATTTGATTTTTCCGTTTCGGAAGGTATGTCCCAAACACTGTGATAAGGTTTAGCAACTGAATTACCCAAAACCGTACCGAAAAATTTATTTTTAACCGGATCGAATTTAACGGATCTGAACGTTTTGTTATTTATTAAATTATTATCGACAAATAATAAATCTCCAACGGATTTTTGTTTTTTTATACCGTAAGAAGATTCAACCACCACCGGTTTAGTATGACTATCATCATCATCATCGGTAGATTTGGAAAGATTATTTAAGGAAGGAGTTGAAACAGCGTAAGAACTATACTGATAACCGGAATTAGATTCCATTAAACGCCTAGCATCAGCTAATTCTTTTGTCGTTACAACAACCGTGTGCCTATTTTGGCGCGAAAGCCTTCGATTTAAAAATCTTTTCCTATTCGACATTTTATTAGAAGTGGAAGAAGAAGATTCGTTGTAAATTTTCCCCTCATCGGAACAAGGTGTCATTTTTAACGATTTTTGTAATTGAATAACGAGTTGTATTAAATTGTCTTTCGTTTTAGAATCTAATGATTGTTCCGTTGCCAACCGGGATTCTAAAGTAGTCTGTAATGTTTTTACGTATTCGTATATTTCCCTTATCAAAACATCATCATCATCATCATCATCTTTTTTTTTTTTTTTTTTTAAAGTTTGATGTTCGCGTAGGGAATCTCGTAAACCCGCCAATAAACGTAAATCTTTTCCCGGTTCTTTCCGTGTATCGTTGTTGTTATTATTATTATTATTATAATTGGGATTATTATTATTATCGACATGGTTATTATCATTATCAACGTGAGAATCGATATCGCGAGAGTCAATCGTTAGAGTTGTACGAAGTCTTTCGAGATATGGAAGAAGTGACTCACCCTCACGTCCGGAATCTTTTAAATATTTTGATTCATCGTCGTCTCGATGACTACCTCCAGTAGTAGTAGTGGTAGTGGTAGTGGTAGTAGTAGTAGTACTTGTTAAGTCTTTAAATGGTATAAAAATTAATTTAACGTCGGAGTCACGTCGGAAAAAACTTTTTAAATAATAATAATAATTATTTACCTGTATTATCGGCCATCACTGCGCGAAGTCTAGCTCTGATTTTTCGTCTTCCTTCGTAATCAGTACAAGCATCCAACTGGAGAAAAAAAAAATAATAATAAAAAAATCAGTATGACCAACATGAAAAAAAAAAAAAGAAGAAAAAAGAGACATTTTATTACTTACCAACTGTCTTAATCTTTTTTCGTCCCAAATATCGTCGATATTATCGTTAGAGGTGCTGTAATCCTAAAATGTAAAAAAAATTTTTTTTTTTAAATCGACAAAATAAAACTATAAACTATAGACTATAAACTATAGCTTTATATACTGTTAATAACCGGCGTGAAATTTAACGAATGATTGTATAAACATACAAAGATGTCGATGCCATTTTTTTTTTGTATAAAATTAATTTTGATTTTGAGCCAATTAAAAAAAAAAAAAAAACATAAATTTTACTTGGCCTTAAACAACAGAATTGAACGAGGAGATTCTGATTTTTTTTGCAGAATATATATTAAGAAGGAGTGAGAGAGAGAAAGAGAGAGAGGTGCGTATGTGTGCGTGTGCGTGATTCTGTCACGATGAGAGAAAAGAAAAAAACGCGAAATAATTTCATTATCATTATCATTATTCGCGAACTTACCCGAAATATGAAAATTAATAAGGGATTGGTATTTTACAAGGAAGAAAGGAAGGAAAAATAATAATAATAATAATAATGACAGATTAAAATAAACGAATTTTTTTCTGTTTAGGGGGAGGAGGAGGAGAGAGAGGGAGGGAGGAGAGCTCTCTCTCTCTCTCTCTCTCTCTCTCTCTCCTTGGCTGATGTAAAAAACAAAAAAAAATTTTAAATTTCATCTCTCGCCTATTTTGGGCACTCGTCGAACGTTTTTTTTAAAAAATTTTTCCGCGCAAACTCGTCAAGGGAAAAACGTTAACGTTTAACTATTTTAAGATCTCAGAGTCCTTATTAAAAGAAATTCAACAGAAGACACGCACACCACCACGTGTCTTTCTATTATCATTATTAATGCAAATGTTTTTTTTTTTTTTTTTGCAAGACAAAAATTAAAATAAAATTAAAATAAAATTTTACGCGTTTTCCACATATATCGAAAAAGGGCGTTTTATTTTAAAATACACGGTGTCCTCCCACGCACTCTTTCTTCCCCTCCCTCTTAACCCCTCGACTCCTTAAATCCTGCGAAAGTTTCAAAACTTTAATTAAAAAAAAAATTTTTTTTTTTTTTATAACGCGATGAAAGATTCATAACCTCCTCGTCGTCGTTTTGAAACGCGTTCGCCATAAACAAAAAAATTTTTTTTTTGAAAAGTGAAAGAGAGAGAATTCCTTCGGGAGAGTGACAGGATTCATCGGAGGAACGACAGACAGGTACGCAAATTTCCGGTGGAATAAATTAAATAAATAATTGGGAAAAGAAAAAACGTTAGAAAGGATTCGTTCGAACTCGCAAATCGCCATCCAACCAACCCTCGATCGTTTCAAGGCCTTAACATAAAAAAAAAAAATTTTTTGTTTTTATTTTTATAATGTTTTGGCTGAGTTTCAATATATTTTTTAAAAAAAAATTTACGCTTCGAATTTAAATAAAATAAATAAATAAATAAATAAAAAATGGGAAATGCATTAAAGTCCTCTCCCCCTCCCCCCCCGTTCCCTCCCCAACTCTCAACCGTTTCGTTTAATATCATTTCCTTAAAAATTATAAAAAAATTTTAATAGCGCAAAATTAAATATGACTAAAAAAAAAAAAATGGCGGGGAAAGATGCGGGGCGATCAAGAAGCAGAAGACATCAATAAAAATTTATGTGTGGCATATTAAACGAAAGACTTGCCAAAAAAAAAAAAAAAAAAAAATTTTTTTTCACGTTTCGATTTTGTTAAAAAGACATTTTGACAATTTTATTTAAATATCGTGACGACGATTTTCATCGGTCACGTCGTCATCGCACAAGATCACCGGGTAAAAAACAAAAAAAAAACATGGCGAACGTTTTTCTCGAAAAGTTTTAATGCGATGGTTTGAGTACTTCCGTCTCCCCCTTCCCCTCCCCAACAAAGTTTTTTTTTTTTATCATAACCCCCATTTCCCCCCCGAAAATCAAAAAAAAAAAAAAAGTCACACTTACTTAAGTTCACATTCAGAAATTTTTCTTTTTTTTTTGATAAATTTAAATCACTTCAAATTTTTTTTTTTTTTTTTTTTTGGGGGGGGGGGAAATTAAAACTAATTTAAAAATTAGTTAAAACTAAACTTTTAGTTTAAAAAAAAAAAAAAATATGAAGAGAAATTTAAAAAAAAAAACTAAAAACTGTCACGAAAAAACAAAATTAAAAAAATAAATTTAAAACTTTAACCAGAGAACAGATTTAAACAACTGAAGAAAATTTTTTTTTTTACTGAAGATGAACACGAAGTTAGTTGTGAGGGACGTCAGTGGCGAAGGAAGGAAAGATTCTTACAAAACATGACATTTAACAGCTGTTAGTTAAAAAAAAAAAAAAAATTTCGTATAACTTTTTAAAACCCAAAAAAATGTCGGACAATTAAATTAGTTTTACAATCGAATAATAATCCGTCGAGATTTAAAAATTTAAATTTAAAAAATGGCGCGAAATGAATCGCGAGTTTTTTTACTCCTTCTGCTTTTAAAGCAAAAGAAAGAAAAAGAATTTCAAAAAAAAAAATTTTTGTAAAACAAACAGGAAACAAACATGAGAGCGGAATTCAATTTTTTAACTTTTCACCATCATGGAACAACATGGCGACGAAACGAGGAAGGAAAATTTTCGAAATGAAAATTTTATTTTCAAGGGCGTTAATTTAAACACAAAAACGAAAAAAAAAAACAACCTTAAAAAACATAAAATAAGAAAACAATGGACATTTTTGTTTGATATAAAATTGCCAACAAATTTTTAACTAATGATTTTGTCCTCGTTTTTTTTTTTTTATAAAAAAGAAGAAGATGAAAAACTTTTTATGAGTCCTTTTATTATAAAATTAGTAATCGAATGACTACTCACTGACTAAACAAAAACAAAATTCTCAATAAATGTCTTCCGCTAAATCTCTCTCTCTCTCTCTCATTGAAAGCAGGGTAGGAATTAGAATGTCGAAAAATAATAAAAAACTTACCTTGTAATCACCCCTGGTCGGAGAATCTAATATTCTTTGTCTTTCAACTTCAGACACTAAAGTTGAACTTTTAGCTCCGGAGGCTTTCACCAAAGGTTCCATACCAGACATCATAACGGAAGCTCCAAGAAACTTATTAAGAAGAGCTCGAGCTTCCGTATCGCTAGCTGTGTCGTCAGCAAGTGAATCTACATCAAAAAAAAAAAAAAAAAAAAATTCGTTAGTAATTAATTAAAATTAATTTTAATCCGACATTTTAAAAGTGAAAACAAACCTTGATCTGCTGCTCTCATTCTAGTTATTATATCTTGCACGCCGGTCACCTTTGAAGGATTTCCAAGAAATGATTTTCCGCCACTTTCCGTTCTTATTTCTGTCGTTTGTGTGACGTAACGACGTTCGTTAACGTCACTCAATCTATCCCTGTGTCCAGGAGACCAACTGCGTCCCGAATCTCCGCGTCCTCTTTCGTTCGGATAATCCGTACCGCTTCTGCTGGGGGATCCAACTCTAACTTCCATCGAAGCCGAATGTTTGAATCCTGGTGAATCTAAATTTAAAAAAAAAAATTCATTTGTCAATCCCTCGAAATCATTCGAAATAAAAATTCGTTTGTTAGGAAGGGTGGGTCAATAATAATCAAGCGGTAAAAGCAATAAGATACCTGGCCTGGACTCCTTGACGCTGTTGTCCTTTTTTTGATAAGGCTCGACAAGCGCTCTTATCACGACAACGCATTTAAAAAAATAAAATAAGCATGTATGTTTAGATAAAAAAAAAAATTAATTTTTTTTTTTTAATGAGGTATGCGTGTATAAATTAGATAGAAATGATTACCTGGAGATGTTAAATCACCATTCGTGTGCTTGAAGCTGGTCGACCGAAGTATCAGGCCCGCTTTTGGGTAAGATGAAACCCCGGTTTTGGGTGTCTCGGCTTCGGCTATTTATTAGTTATAAAATATGATTACATAATGATTTTATTTTTAAAAAAAAAAAAAAAATTATTACAATGGATGAATGATAATATTTTTTATTTTTCATTTTAACCGGAAGTCAAATAAAAAAATAATAATAAAAATTATTTAAATTAGTTTTGCAATTGATTAGTCGTGTTAAATTACCGTCACATTTTTTGGTTTTAAATTTAAAAAAAATTTTTTTTTTGTTAAGTACCTGCAGCTTGCTGGAATTTTTGAGATAACGCTTTGACGGAGCCTCCTTTTCCAATTCTACTGAAACTAGGCATGCTGTGATGCTCGGTTTCATCGGTACCCGTAAATTTACGGTATAATGTTTCTTTGACGTCATCAATCGGTGTTGATGATCCTCGACGATAGCCTGAAGGAAATAGGATATTAATGAGTTTTTAATAACTCAATATTTTTTTTAAAAAAAAAAAAAGGAAAATGATGTGAAAAACCTGTACGTACCTGGTTCGTCATCTCGCGGAGAAGAATATTTTCTATCTGGGATTCCATTTTCTAATCCGTATCTGTGAGAATCAATCGATGGAGAAGACATTCCATCGACGGAAGTTTTGTAAGTGTTTGAAGTTTTACTGGAAAAAAAAAAAATAAATTTTATTTATTAAAAAGATGTTTACTTCCGGTTTCCGGTTTTCGCCGCCATCCATTTATTTATCTCACCTTACGTAAGTGCTGTATTGCGTATCCGTTTTAGTATCTCTAAAATCAGATTTTCTATCAATGGAATCGTTTGAAAATTTTTTTGACAATTGTGTTAATCTATCGCTTATGGATTTTCTAGACGATTGACTTCTATCATCGAAATCATCTCTTCTTCTCGAGTAATCGTCAATTGGAGTCCTGTTCGATAAACGAGATGGCGAATCCATGTATCGATCGGGTGAGCCTCTTTCTGGAGATGGAGTTTTACGAGTGGTTTTCAATGTTGGCGAAACTGTGCTTCTGTGACACAAAAATATCGAACATAATAAAATTTTCCAAAAAAAAAAAAAAAATAATAAAAGTTTTAATAGTTTACCTGAATCTATCTTTAACGGAATCCGTTGTCGATGATCTGCTCGTAACGGATTTAATCGATCTTCTTCTATATGATTTTTCATCTTCGCTATCAATATCGAGGATGTCAATCGGTTCATGACCAGGAGTTTCGTAAGAATATTCTTCTCTCGTGACTCTCGTTTTCGGTTCTTCATCATTTTTAGACGTTGTTTCTCCTACGAAAAAAAAAAAATCATTTTTAAAATCAAAACTAAAACTTTCAAAACATTTCCTTTCCGTACCGTAATAAACAAAAATGCAAAATACGATTCCGAAAAAGAAAAACCCGTACGACGATAATACAGCATCCCCGTTAAAAAAAGGATTAACAAGATAAAAACAAAAAAAGATTAAGATAATCGTTAATCCGCATATTAATCCAAATCTTATCCTTTTAACATTATCGAGAATTTTATAGCGTGAAAAAAATTTTTTTTTTACATTCCGTAATAAACGAAAAAAAAACGAAACATGGACACGTTTTTTCACGTTGACCGACATTTTTCCTCACGCCGCCATTTTTTTTTTTTTTTTTTTTCAAAACAATTATTTTCCTCGTTGAAAAAAAAAAAAAAATTTTTAATAATTTTTATCGGATTCATCATATCCGTTTTTTTTAATAATAATAATAATAATAAATTTACACAAACATCGTTTAAATGATTTTTGAAAAAAAAAAACCAAAACAAAACTTGAATCATACAAATTTGCGGTTAAAAAAAAAAATTTTCTTCTCTGTCACGATTTTCAGGCACGGCGTATAATAATAATAATAATAATTCATTCAAAAGTGTCATTATCACATAAATCGATTGTTATTATTATTATTATTATTATTATTACCAAACTTAAAACGCGTTAACAAAAAAAGAGAAAAAAATGACGAAAAAACGTTTTTTTTTTTTTTTTTTTGTTCAACGATTATGAAAAAATAAGAAAAGAAAAAATAAATCGAACTCGAACGATTCTTTTATAAAAGTCGAACTCGAACGATATCGAAATAAATATTCGATTATTAATTTCCGTTTATTATTTATTTATATATATAAATAAATTTTGAAATTTGTTTGTTTCAAAAGCCAAAAATAAAAAGAAAATTAATAATAAAAAAATTGTCTTCTGCCAGACGTTTTTTTTTTTTTTTTTTTTTTGTTATGATGGCACTACTTAAAACGATCAGATTTAAGTTATTCGATCTCTTACGATTTTTTTTTTTCGAGTCGGGATTTTTGCCAATTGCAATTCAAGTTCGACATTTTTTTTTTTTTAATATGAATTTTACTTACTACTACTACTTAATAACATCGATATTCGCGTGTCATCTTTCTCCCCTTTCTCCCCTGCATCCCCTCGAAAAAAAAAAAATGAAAATGTTTTGCCGATGACGGTTAGAAAGCTGAAATTCTAATCCCACGACAAAATCAATCCTTTACACATACCTCTTATGACGTTTTTCTTAACGGAAACGGTACCATCGGGTCTTCTTACAGCAGAAGATCTAACAACCGTGCTCGTTGAATATGATGATGATGATGTTTTTTCGGTTGTTTTATAATCGTCATCATCCAATAAACGTTCGTGTTTTTTAATCATGTCTTTCAATGATTGACCCGGTTCGGATAAAATTCTATCAACATCATCCGGATGTAAATCCTCACCACCATCATCCTCGTAATTTTTAGTTCTCAGAGGAGAATCACGAGGGCTCGACGACACTAATAATAATAATAATAATAATTTTTTAGAAATTTACTTAAAAATTCTTCATTTTTGAGATTTTAAAATAATAATAATAATAATAATATTAGTAAACAAAAAAAAAAAAAATTATGTGCGAATTAAATATAAAGTTAAGAAAAAGTTGTTTTCGTTTTTTTTAATTTTTATTTATTTATGGATTTTATTATTATTATTATTATTATTTAAAAAAAAAATGGATTTATAAACAAAAACTTTCTACGTCTACGTCTACAACAACAACAACTACTATTAATTTTCAACAATAAATAAATAAATAATTTAAACAAAAAATGACGTCATTATTAAAAATAAAATAAATTTTTTTTTTTAAAAAAAATGTTTTAAGTTTTTTTTTTGTTATTAACAAACTAAAACAAAAACAACAACAACAACAATAATAATAAGTTTTAACATTATTACGACATACAAATTCGCATTAACGTTAATAATAATAATAATAATAATAATAATAATGGATTTTTTTTTAATTAAATTTTTTGTTAATTAATTTTTTTGTTTTCTGATTCAGTTCAAATTTTTTTTATTTACTAAACGAAATAATAATAATAATAATAATAATAATAATAATAATAATAATAATAATAATAATAATAATAATAATAATAATAACAACAATAATAATAATAAATGAAACAAAAAAAAAGTGAAAACATTCAAACAAAAATTATTATTATTATTATTATTATTGAAATTGTCATCGTTGTTGTTGTTGTTGTTTTGTTTTTCGTTGGTTATTATTTATGTTTATTTTTTTTTTTTTTGTATTTTTTATACGTATGTAAATAATAAAATGTTTTTGTTTAAAAAAAAGTAATTTTTGTCGTCTGCTAAAAAAAAAAAAAAACAAATTACGTACATGCGTGTTCGTACGCATTTTTTTTTTTTTTTCGACTCGGAAAACCCAAAATTTAAAATAATAATAAATGACTGTCATTTCCTGTTTCCATTTCCATATACAAACAATCACGACAAATGTCTTTAATAATAATAATAATAATAATTAATAATAAAAATAATAATAATAATAATAATAATAACTTACTTGAACGAGTGTCTGTGTTATTAAGTGTTAATTCTTTAAATTTAGAGTCGGTATCATCAAATGTTTCGATATTTTTTCTGGGAGCTCTCAAAGCATTCAAACCGAAAAAAGCTCTGCCAGATGAATCTTTAATATCGTCCGGGGATTGTGGTTCTTTTTGTAAGTAATCGGTCGTATCCGTTTCCGTTTTTCCCTTATGCCTTCTCAACGCTTGAAGACCAAACAATGGTCTGCCCTTATCGTCGGTGGGACCGACACCGTAACTCGATATTATCGAATCGGTTATGTTTGTTTCTTTAGTTTCAACGTCCGTATGTGATTTCTTAATTGTATTACTGACTGTAAATTAAGAAAATTATTTGTACACACACGCACACACACACGCAAAAATATATTTCCTTCGCCTTCTTGTTTGTTTGTTTGTTTGTTTGCTCTTATATTATTTCCTTAATAAAAAAAAAAAAAAAAAAATTCTTTTTGTTATACCGTTTGTTACCAAATATTTATCGGAGAATCGATTTACCCATATTGGATAAAATTTATTTTCGTAATAATTTCAAAAAAAAAAAAAAAAAAATTACTCAATCGATATTTGGTAATGAAATACTTTCGGAAAATATTTTTACCACGCACATACGCACGTGTTTTCCTTCTAAAAAAACCATTTGTGACGTATTCGTAAGGTTTATTAAAAATTACGTTAACCGGAATTACATTGTGCCAACTTAACAAACAACAACAAAATGTTTTAACTCGAAACAAACAAAAAGGAAAATCCAAGAGAATTTTTTTTGTAATAGTTATAATTGTTTCGAAAAGAAAAACTTTTTCTACAACCGAAATGAAAAGTTTTCTTTCTTTCATTTTTTTTAAAAAGTACATTAAATGTTATTAACTTATCAATAAAAATAAATAAAAAATCCATTAAGATAAATAATTGTTAATTTTCTTTATTCACGCTGCGTATTTACGCACGCATGCACGCACTCACGCAAAGGAAATGAACTTTAAATTATTTAAATAATTTTTTAAAATTAAATTAAATTAAAAATATAATAAAATAAAAAGTTAAAAGGAAAATTTCCCGATGATAAAATTAAAAATAAAAACCGGAAATAAAAAAATTAATTTTATTATGATGACGTCACACACACACACACACACACACACACACACACACACACACACACACACACACACACACACACACACACACAAAATCCAAAAATTTTAAATGTGTAAATAAATAAATAAATTCGATTTTTTGTTTTTTTTTTTTTGAAAACGTTTTAGCACTTTTAACGGAGTAAATAAAAGAAATTTTTTGTTTTTTTTTTTTTTTTGGGGGGGGGTGGAGAGGGAAAAAGGAACTTAAACAAACATCACAATAAAAATTTTTATTCCCATCATTTCGTTTACGTTTTTTTTTTTTAATGGACCCTCACTTTATTCTCATGTTGTGTGTTCCATTTCGAATCGAATTCAATTTACAAAAAAAATGGCCCATTTTGACATTTTAATATAATTTTTTTTTGGCCAACTCGACCTCTGCTTGTTCATACACGCACACACACACACACATTTAATTACATAATGACCCGCAGGTAGGCAACTTAATAAAAAAAAAAAAAAAAATTTTTTTTCCTTTTAATCATTTCGACGCTTGACCACCATTTATTTATATTTATTATTTAACATGATAAATAATTATGATGATAATAGTAATAATAATAATAATAATAATAATAATAATAATAATAATAATAATAATAATAATAATAATAATAATAATAATAATAAAACTAAAAAAAATTACTATTTACAATCTTAATTAGTTCCCATGCAAAAAAAAATTTTTTTTTTTTTTTTACGAGATCTTCATTACACAAATTTTTTTTTTTTTTTAATTTTTTTAAATAAAAAAAAAAAGAAAAATTATCGTTTGCGCTTGAGGGCATTCGTGGAATGTAATAATTTTTATAATTTTAAGCAATCATAATTATATTCTACAAAAAAATAAAAAAAAGAAGGAAAAATTTATATATAAAAAAAAGTTTTTTGCGAATCAAAACAATACGAGGTACCTCGTTTTTTTTTCCCCCTTAAAATATTTTTACCATTTTATTTTTAATTTCCGGTTAATATTTCATATCTAAGGTAATTACAATTATTATTATTATTATTATTATTTGACTTAATTATGGTGAAGAACAAACAGGGGAAGAAAAAAAAAAGAAAATTTACGTATGTATAAATAAATCGATGAGAATTATGTTAAAAATAAAAATGGCGATTACATTTAAATAAACCCATTTAATTATTGAGGATGCATCAAACGCGTAAAATGATTTACGATCGTAATTGTTTATATGTAATAAATTTATTCTTCTTATATTTTGATTTATATTTAATCTGTAATTTAATGGTAAAAAAAATTTTTTTTTTTTTTTTTTTTAATTAACGATTCAATATGCTTTTTATATTTTATTAATTTCTCTTTAATTGTTATTATTATTATCATTATTATCATTATTAACGCTCTAAATTAAATATATAATTATAAACTTATAAAAAATAATATTCGCGCGTTGCGAATAACAAATGAAAAAAAAATAAAAATGGCCGCCGAGTAAGTGACGTAAACAACGTAAATTTGTCGATCTTTTCTCTTTTTTTTTATTCTCAGAAATTTATCGATATCGAGATGATATTCGATTTCGATTATTTAAAATCAACTCGAGATATAATTTTAAAAAAAATAAGCAAATTAATTAATATTAAAACGATAAACGTTGAATAAAAAAAAAAAACGATGATTATTAATTATTCTTATTCATTTTGAATGCAAAAAAAAAGAAAATTAATCGATCCGTTAAGTGATTCCATAGAGTAAATAAACAAAAAATTTCTTTCCCTTTTGTCGCGGCAAAAAAATAATAAACGACCGAAATAATATCTATTACACGAAATTAATAAATAAATCCTAATCATAATTTATTTATCCGTAATAATAATAATAATAATAATAATGTTTATTATTATTATTTATCGGTGTAATAAATCAAATAAGACGGTAACAATCGAAAAATATGACTTGAAATATATTATATATATATATATATTCTTTTGTTAAACGCGCGACGTTTTTTTAAAATTTTTTTTTTTTTTAATGATTAATAAGAATCCATTTTAAAAATTGACATAATTTTTTAATAATAAAAAAAAAAAAAAAAGCAAATGGCCGGAAAGATTCCTCAGGTCAAAACCTATTTTCAAATTTTTTTTAAATATTTAAATAAGGTTTTAATTTATTGACCGAATTTTATAAATTTCCGCATTTTTTCCAACCGGAAATAAAAAGATTTTCTTTCTTTATGAAATGATATTTGGGAACCATTTTTTTAAAAATAAAAACTAAGTGAAATAATAATGATGAGAGAATAACAAAAAAAAAAAAAAAATTTAACGTAAACGGAAAATCTTTTAAATTCGTGACGTATCACAAATAATTCGCTAAAAAAAAAAAAATTGAATTCGTGTTATGATAATAAATAAACGATTAATTTTTTTTAAAAAAATTTGTACACGAAAATATGATCGTGTAAAAGTTCTAGAACAATGTAGAACTTTTGTCACATACACACACACACACACACACACAAGAGAAACCTTGAAATTTTTTTTTTTTTTTTATTCTTTCTTTCTTTCTTCTTCCCTTTTTTTTGTAATTTTTATTACGATTAAACACATAAAATAATAATAATAATAATAATCGTAACATTGTTTACGAGGTTGTCATCATCAATTGAATTGTTTTTTGTCACTTTTCTTAAAAGTATTTAGTTAATCGCAAACATTTGAAAAATGAAATAACGTCTTCTCTCTCTCTCTCTCACACACTCCAACTCACCTTACAAATCGTTTATATTATCATCATTATCATTAATATTTATTCAAATTTTATTATTGGTTAACGATACCTGGGATATGTTGCCTAATTAGGTAAAACTTAATCACCTTAAACCACGTTTGCGAAATATAAAAACTTTTTTTTTTTTTTTTTTAATAAAATAAATTTAAAACCGGACTCGAGTCGTTCCTTCGCTTTTTTTTTTTTTATTACAAATTTACAAAAAAAAAAAAAAAAAATACCTAAAAAACGTACCTGTATTCGTTTGACGGGGGGGGGGGGAAATTTTTTTTTAATAGTTTTTATAAATCAAATCGATTAATCGTTCGTTTGTTAAATAAATGAATGAATCAAACCTTTGAAATATTTTTTAAAAAAAAACCGAATTTAATATTTTTTTTTTTTTTATTATTTAACGACAATTATACGTATTTTATTATTATTATTATTATTATTATTATTATTATTATTATTATTATTATTATTATTATTATTATTATTTTAAAAAGGGGACACGAAAATTAAATAATCGACATTTAAAAAAAATTTCGTGGGATGAATTCTCTCTCTCTCTCTTCTCCCCTTTCCCCCCACTCTCTCACTTTATCGTTAACAACAAACACCCACAAAAAAAAAAAAAATTTCGTGTGAGATTTTCTCATTATTATTATTATTATTATTATTATTATTATTATTATTGTTATTATTATTATTATTATTATTTAAAGTTGTTTCGGCTTGGAGAAAAATAAAAAAATAAAAATAAATAAACGAGTTTATGCGAAGATGTTAAAATTTATTAAAAAAAAAAGAAAAACAACCGACTATCATTTATTATTATCATTATTATCGTCGATATAAGTATGCGAAAACATAATAATAATAAAAAAAAGATATAAAAATATATTTATATATATTGATTAAAGAAATAATTAATGCAAAATAATAATAATAATAATAATAATAATAAAAAACCTACAAGAAAAATTATTCGTTAAAAAAAAAATATTTATATATATAATTCTATCTAGAGTCGGGGTAATAAAAAATAAATAAATAAATAAATTATCGTCGTCGTCGTCGTCTGCTTTTTTTTTTTTTTGCTTCGTTTTATATTTTATCTCGCGCCACGGCAAAAAAAAAAAGAAAACAATCCTCTGAGGATTTTTTGTTGTTGTTTTGTTTACGTTTGTTAAAACGCTAATAAAAAATTTTCTTAGCTGGTTGTTTCTCTCTCTCTCTCTCTTATTAATCGAACATGAATATAAAAATCGCTTTCGCTTTTTTTTTTTTAATGTTTTGATTTAAATAAATAAATAATTTATATTTATTAATTGAATAAAAATGAAAATGAAAAGAAAGTTAACGTGTTCAACGAGGTAAAAAGAAACAACAACAGCAAGAGACCGTTAAAAAAAAAAATTAAATGAATAAATTAATAATTTAAAAAAAAAAAAAAAGAAAAATTTTATTTTCGCGCCAAATCCTACTCCTTCTGCTGTCGTATTGGGAAATTTTTAACGTGGAAAAAGAATAAAAATAATATATCCGTGACGACACACGACTCACACGACTCACAACGCTAAAAACTTTCGACGAACTATAATAATAATAATAATTGATTATAATAAATCCATTAAAAAAAAAAAAAAAGAAAATTCGTTGGCTCGATGGTAATAATAATAATAATAATAATAAGGATAAATTATTTTAACCTAGTAAATATATATAAAAAAAAAAAATCTTTGACGAGACATTTTTAATAGGATTGTAAAAGAGAAAACCACCATTTTGTTACCTTTTTTTTATTTTATTTTATTTTGAATAATGTTTTACGCCCGAATATGAGGAATGTGAAAGTGACACGAGGGGGGTCAACACGAGGTGATTCACGGATTAAAACTCGTTCATAAAAAAAAAAAAAAAAAAAAAAAAAAAAAAAACGTTATTCTATGGTCTAGTCAAGCAAGCGTTGGCGATGCGCTTTGAGTAATTACACCCAAAACCATATTACCACCCATTTTCTATCTCTCTCTCTCTCTATCTATCTCTCTTTCTCTCATTTTCTCTTTTCAAACGTTGTTTGTTGTTAGACGAGAATATAATAATAATAATATTTACGACAATGTTAATTTATCATAAAGCATTACCTACCAACCGATTGTCGAACGTCTGACAACATTTTTTTCTTATACATATTGATAATGATAATAATAATAATAATAATAATAATAATTATTCTTTTCTAATGTGGCAAACGATAAGAAAAAAATTTTACGAATCGGAATTATTTATGATTTATATATATATAAAAGAACTAAATCGATTTGCTCTCGATTCTTTTTAAATAAATCCCACCATCTTTAAAAGAAAGAGAGAGAGAGAGAGGGGGGTAGGGGTAAAGGAAAGAAAAAGAAGAAATTACTGGAGAATGACTCAAACACTTTGTTTCCATTATTGTTACTACGAATACTCTCGTTAAAAAAAAAAAAAAAAAATTCTTTTATTCGGGTTTACACATTTACACGTAGACGTTAAAAAATTGTAAAATAAATGCGAGTTTGTATATTTCGTAACGTTCATCGTTATAATTAATTTTATTATTACATTTTACTATTATTATTATTATTATTATAATAAACTATCGATCGATTGATCGATCGTGATTTATCATCGTGGTTTTGTTTGTTCGTACGAAAAAAAAAACTAAATAATTAAACAATTTTTTTTTTTTTTTTGTTGCTTATTTAACGATAAAATATTTTTCACGATTCGTCATAAATAAATGATTAATTACGACTAATATGGAAAGGAGAGAGAGAGAGAGAGAGAGAGAGAGAGAGAGAGAAAACCTCATTCAAAACCTTTTGAAATTTTTTTTATTCGAAGGCGGTGGTGGTGCCGACGGTGGCGACGGCGGCGTCGGAAAGCGGTAAAACGTTAAACTAATAATTACGCATCGCCGCCATTTTGCCCTTTTGTTTGTAAAACCGGATAAAAATCATTACGCGTTTATTATAATTATTTGTAAAAAAAAAAAAAAAAAAACATTTTTAAACGATAATTAATTCTAACATTTCGACTCCACACGCGGAATTTTATTATTATTTTTTCCCCCTAGGTTTTATTTACTCTATGGCTTATTCACTTTTAATTAATGTATATTAATCGACGTGTGATTATTATAAAACTATTCGAATCGTCGTTTATCTTTTGTTCAACGAAAACAAAAGAAATCGAACACGAACAAAAAAAATAAAATTTTATCATGTAAAATTTTTTTATTCGGCCATTTTTATTTTCCTTCTTCCCCTCTTTTTATCACCACGCACCCGTGAAACCCACGTAATTATTTTTTCGATGTACTATTAAGGATAAGCGAGTAGGAGGAGGGGAGAGGGTAGGGGAGGTGAAGGTGGGAAGGTAAGAGGGAAGAAACAAAATGGCAGAAAGCTGATTTTTTTTTTTTCGCACAAATTAATGTCTTGAAATGGAAATAAGAAACTTGTGTGTGTGTGTGTGTGTGTGCTCAAATTATGAAATGCGACCCATTTTTATTCGTGACGTCAAGGACAATGAATAAATAAATAATAATAATAAAAGATGCATACTACGCGTACAGGTACGATGTTACGAATATGCTAATTCGTTAATAATTATTTAAACGGAAATTTTACCTTTGTAAAAAAAAAAAAAACTCGAAACTCTGTAATTTTTTTTTTTTTTTTTTAATAACAAAAAGAAATTTCTATTTTATTTTATTTTATTCTATTGTATTTATTTATTTATTTATTTGCCGCACCTTTTTTTCAATAATAATTTCATTTTATCCGTGAACAATAACGAAAGTTTTAACCTTTGCAAAAAAAAACGTTTTCTTCTGCTTTTTCTTTTTTTTTCCCGCCTACTTTTACGAATACGTTCACAAACTCGCGCTTTCTTTCTTTCCTTTTTTTAATACAAACGGCAAAAAAATGTAGTAAAAATAGACACAAAAAGCAAACAAACAATAAAACCAGGTTCGTCTTAACTAAATTCATTCGACAGGTATAAATATTTAAAAAGTAAATATATGAAAACCTTAAAAGGTCGTTAACTTGTTAACAAATCGGAAATTCCAACCCTATCGAAAAAAGAAAACGACCGTTAAATTTAAAATTTTGAAAAATTCAATTAATGCCCGCCGATTATCATCATTATCATCATTGTAAACGTTTATACCGGTGTTGTAACGTTTAAAATTAAATAAAAAATAATAATTAATAATTAATTAATAATAATAACAATCAATAAAATTAATTAAATAAAACTTACTCGGTGTTAAGCGTCCCATTTTTTTATTTATAAAATCGACTTCACTCGAACGAAAGACTTATAATAATTAAATATATTAAATAAAAACTCGACAACAAAACAACAACAACAACAACAACTACAAACAACGACAACAACGAAATAAAATAAAATATAAAAAAAAAAAATTAAAAAAAAAGAAATTTTTTTTTTTACATGACACGGTAACGAACGAAAGACCTTCAACTTGACCAACAATGGTTAAATGTTCAAAATGGCAGGTTCAACGGTAGACTGGTAAACGTTACCAGATGAAACACCGACACTGACTGACTTCGTTAAATTAATAAATAATTATAAAAAGACTTTTTACATAATTATATTTACGTTTAAAAAAGTATTTTTTTATAAATAATTACAGGTATTATTCGATTGTTGCGTTCGTTTTCTCCTTCTCTCTCTCTCTCTCTTTCTCTCTCTCACTCTTTCTCTTTCTTTTTTTTTTTCGTTATTCACTATTTATGTCTTTAAATATACATAATTTTATTAATTAAAATGTTATTAATTAATAGAATTTTTATTAAAAAAGGCGGTCGTGTGTTGCGATGAAAGGAATGAAAACCTTTTAAGGTATTAATTTATCATTGTTTATTTGTTTTATCTACTCTCTTATATAAAAAAAAAAGTATTCATGACCGTAAAAAGGATGTAGGAATGAAAAAAAAAATTTAGAATGTCATGATTGATTGATTGATTGATTGATTTGTCGTGTTTTCACCATCGATCGGTAAATTAAACTTTTAGTAAAGAAGAAAAAGAAAAAGAGAATCGTACTTCGTAAAAAGAAAAATTTTTATTTGCAAAAAAATGTTTTTTTTTTTTTTTTTTTTTTTTTTTTTAATCCTAATAATAATTGCACGAGCAGGTATGAAATGGTTAGTATAAAAGTAAAAATATTTCTAAAGACACGTTTTTATACTCTATGGAATTTTTTTCCTTTTACGTGGGTAAAAATTGCTATTAAAGACAAAACGTCTTATGGGGAAAAATTATTGAATTTTTTTTTATTATATAAAATTTGTCGTCGTTTTTAAATGGGACAAAGGAAAATGTCAAATTTTTTTCATTCCTTTGATTTTCTCACGGTACGAATACGTATAAAATAATAATAATAATAATAATAAAACCGTCGGAAAATAAAATAATCGAAAGTTATAACGAACGATGAGTATTAAAGAAATAAACGAAGAATTTTTCTTGTTGTTGTTGTTTTTGCAAAACATTACGATAAACAAAATAGAATTTTCTCGAATGCAAAATAATAATAATAATAATTAAAATCCATAAGTTAATAAATCGATTATCGATTTCATGAGTTTATGTAGGTCAAAATATTAAAAGTGAAACAACTTTTTCTTAACGTTTGTTTTGTAAAATATTTTCCATTACGACGATTTATATATGAACTTTAAAGAAATTTTTTCTTTAGACGAAAAGAGAACGTTTAACGTTCGTTTTAAACGTTCGGTTAATAAAAAATAATTTGAAAATCACTTACCACCGTATGGTCTAGTTTCCGGATATAATCCGTCACCCATAAAAGGCCTCGATTTTTCTCTCGTGGGAGATTTTCCACTTCTCAAATATTTTCTCGTATCGGAATCGATTAATGTACCGCCAGGTATTGTTGGTTTTTTAACACCGGGTGATGATTTCGTAGGTTCGTAGGTTCTGCAGGGGAAAAAATTTTTTTTTTTCGTTAAATATAACATTTACTCGATACCCATATTATTATATTAAATTTAAAAAAAAAAAAAAAAACTACTTCTACCGCCGACGAGCGAACAATTGCCATCATTGATTGATGAATTCATCATAACGCCCCCGACATATTTATTGTTATTGATTTATTGACATCGTTAATTAATAGCCGAAATTATTTATTTATTTTAATTTTTATTTTTATATTTTTTTTCGTGAGTTAATTAAAAAGCCATCGTTATTTAATACCAGGAAAATGATTTTCTGGCCGCCAGCAAACTAAAGCCTAAAATTTAAGGAAATCATATGAGACAACATTATAATTTTTTTTTTTAAAAGCATTTTATGATTTAAAAATAATAATTATTTATGATAAATGTGAGAAAGGGAAAAATGAGTGATATGCCACTGCACGTTTTTTTTTCTTTTTACCTAATTATATTTTAATTAATCCGGCGAAAACAATGAGAGAATAGAGGAAGTAAAAACGTACATTTTTTTTTGTTATCGTGTCCTACATTATCTAAATGTTAAGTCTTTGTTAAAAAAAAAAAAAACTGATTAACCGCGTGTAAAATTTATTTAAACGTAAATTAAAATATCGAAATCTTTTTAAATTTCTTTTTTCTTTCATTTTTAAACTTTTCGATAGTGACAGGCAATTGTAAACATCCGAGTTTGTTGTTTCCAATCAATTATTAACAACAAACAAAGATTAACAAAATTTAAACGCCTAAAATTTTTTACGTATGCAATTTGCAATGCGCGCATGAATGTGAAAAAAAAAATCGTAAATGAAAAGGGAAAAAAAATTTAGGTGATTGACAAGGATGATGGTCCATAGAGTGTTATTAACGGTTAAAACATAAAAGAAAAATGTCTTTTTTAAGATAACATTTTAGCTTTCGTCCTCGTCTTTGCCATTTTTCCATTTATGAACTTAATTCGTCCGACTAATTCGAGAGAAACGTTAAAAACAATTCGATGGAGTGAAGATTTTCAACCTTCTATTTATGAAAAAGGAAAACGCAATTTCAATGCAATGAGTAATTCTAATTAAAACAAAATTCGTTACAAGGTTTCTTTTTTTTTTTTTAAATAATTTTCGCGGGTTAAACATGGCGTCGACATAATGACACGATACGAAATAATTAAACTTAAACGTTCCAATTAAGTATAATAATGAAATTAATAATTAAAAACACTCACACAAAACGTTTTGTTTGTCTTTTTTTTTCCCCAATTTAAAATGATAAATTTATTAATTAATCATTATTAAAATTTTTTACCGAGTGGAAAAAATTAATTACCTTATTATTATTTTTAACTAACACGTTTCATTTGAAATGATTAACGGATTCCCTTGACGAAAAAATTTAATTAAAAAAAAATGGCATAGAGTAAATAAATGTTTTTTAAAGAAAAATTCGATGATTCGTTGCCAGATTTAAAAAATTAATTTTTTACTTTTTATTTTTTATATAAATTGTTTACGTGTGATAATTTTTTTTTAGCATTCATTGTGCTAAGAATGACGTTTTTTTTTTTTGCAGTGGCATTAGAATTTAAAGATAAAAAGAAAATAATTAATTTATCAGAAGCATTGTTAGTGCGAAAGTTAAAAAAGGGAAATTTTAATTAATTATTATTAATTATTTAATCGAGTAGTTAATAATAGTAAGAAACGTTGACAGAAAATAAATTAAAATAATAATAATAATAATAATTAATGTGGAAATTTACCTTGAACCAGGTTTTCCATAAGTTTTTTCCGGAGACTTTCTATCGTAAAGCGACGACGGTTGTTTTTCAGGAGATTTTCTATCGTAAAGCGACGACGGTTTTTCCGGGGATCTCCTCAATAAACTATCGGTTTTGGAAGAAGACAAATTCAACGTTGCCGTCGTTTTAATTGACGTACGTTTTCCAGGACTGTCATCTCTTGGATGATATCTTTCTGGAGATGTTTTACGGTAGCTCGTTTCGGTTGTAGTTTCCGTTTTGTACGTCGAATATTTATCCAATGGAGAATCGTAGGTACCTTTGGGTTGTCCTTTCAACGGAGATCTGGATTGTGGTTTGTTGTAAGGTTCGTAATCGTCCAAATACGGTTTCGTACCTTTTCGTCCTGGTTGTTGAGGTACCAATTCATCATTATCGATTAAATTTTTCACATTTCTTATTTGTCCCCGTATCAAACGCCTTTCTTCATATCCCTTTGCTTTTTCCAACTATAATAATAATAATAATAAAAATTTTAATAGGTCATCGTTTTATAAATGCCTTCACGTAAATAAATATTTTTAATAAAAATAATTATTATCATTATTATCACATTTTAAAACGTTGCAAACATGGCGATACTTAATCGTACCTTGTTTAAATACATTAGTTTTATTTCTTTTCATTTATTCTTGAATTAATTCAATAAATAAATAAATAAAATTTTTTTTTAATTCATTGTTTGTTTTTCCCTTGACTTTTCTTTTGGTTTTTTCATCCGGAAAATCTCCATTTTCAATTTTAATTAATTTTTATAAAAATATAAAAAAATAAAAGATTTGAAAATCAAAAAAAAAAAAAAAAAAAAAAAATTATATATGTTAAAAAAACTGGAAACACTAATCGATTAAATAACTCGAATAATAATAAAATAATTAATTATTTTTAACGGACGCCATTTTGAGTATTTAAAAATAAAAAACACAAAATTTACGTTGGCAACACTTAAATTTAAAATTTTAAATTCTTTTAATATCCTTAAAGTAAACGTATATTGATTGTAATTAATTATGTAGATGTTGAAAAATGGAAAAAAATAAAAGGAAACTTACCATTGTTTGTAAAACATCTAAATCGTATATCCGGTCGAGTTCGGTTTCCTTTTTTCCAACGTCTGTGGGCCCTTTTTTAATAAAATTTGTCGTCGTCTTTTTTAATGTGATACCAAAATTAGAAACTTTGCTGTCGGTAATTCTTGATGGTTTCACATTCGAACTCAACGGTCTTCTTTTATTAATTATATCATCATATTCATCATTATCATCATCGTTTAAATAAGGTGAATCATATGAGGATGGATATTTTCTACCATCCGGATGTTTTTGATTTTTCAATAATGCCGGAGCCTTTAATCCTTCTTTTTCTGGAATTTTATTTGCTTTATCGAATGTTGGAGATAAAGGAGAATCGAAAGGTGATGTATAACCGTTAGTTTTCGGTTTAGTATCAATCAATGATCTCGTCGGCCTGTCGGATAATTTTTTATCTGGTGAAAATGGCGAATCGTAGTATTTAGTAGAACTGGTTTTTGTAGTTTTCGTATCGTAATTCATAAGCGAATATTTATCAACAACACTCTGTGGTTTTTCTTTCGATGGTCTTTTTTGTTCTGGTTTGTATAAACTATCGGTTATTCTTGAATTTGGATGAGTTTTGGTGGCCGGGGCTCTGGAAGTACCAAGGAGTGTATCTTTTTTGGGAGTTCCACGGCGTAATTGATCAGCAATTTCTTTTGAAGGAGATTTTTTAGGCGTTGTCGGCGAATCAAATTTGTCGAGTGGTTTATACGATGGAGATGAACCAGTTGGCTCTCTTAATGACGATGGGAAAGAATCAAAAGCGTTCGGTGAGCGTCTTGTGGGCGATGTGAAATCCGTTGGGCTTTTGGGTAAAAGATCTGACATATATTCTCTGTCATCGGTATTATAAACGCTATAAGAGCTGGTTGTTGTGTGAAATACTGAACTCCTGATGGTTGATGGTGATTGTCGATATTTATCACTGATTTCCGGCTGATGTGTTGTTCGCTTAGGATATGTTCCAAAACGGTCTGAAAAAACATTATCTTTGTTAAACAGTGAGTCTAGCGACGGAATAATGGGTTTCAACTTTTTAGTAGGTGATAAATCTAAAGAAGAAAATTTTTGACCAGGCCGTTCTGGAGACTGATCATAAAGACGTGATTTGTTAGTATCTGGAGAATCAAAAGGACGTCGAGAAACAGGTGAGGAATGAGTTTGGGGAAATAATTTTTCCGGAGATTTTTGAGAAGCAAAAGGAGTATCTTGAGTTTTAGGTGACTTACCATATTTATTAGGAGAATCCTCGTCCTCTGGCTTTTTACCCAAACGATCGGTTGGTTTTTTATCGTATTTATTTGGCAAACGATAGTCGTCTGGATGTTTTCCTGTTCGATCAACCGGTTTCATACCGTATCTATCCGGAGATTGACCATCTACGGGAATTTTTCCGACACGATCACCAGGTTTTTTACCGATACGGTCAACCGGCATTTTACTGTATCGTTCAGGAGAACCAACGTCTCCCGGTCTCTTATTAGTTCTATCAGACGGTTTTATCCCGTATCGGTCAGGTGCATCATCATCTCCAGGTTTTCTTCCAGTTTTATCACCCGGTTTTCTACCATATCGGTCAGGTGAATCATCATCTCCGGGTTTTCTTCCAGTTTTATCACCCGGTTTTCTACCATATCGGTCAGGTGAACTATCGTCTCCGGGTCGTTTTCCCGTTTTATCAGCCGGTTTTCTACCGTATCTGTCCGGAGAATGTTCGTCTCCGGGTCTTCTTCCAGTTTTATCACCTGGTTTTCTACCGTATCTATCCGGAGAATGTTCGTCTCCAGGTCGCCTTCCAGTTTTATCACCTGGCTTTCTACCGTATCGGTCAGGAGAATGTTCGTCTCCAGGTCGTCTACCCGTTTTATCACCTGGTTTTCTACCGTATCTATCCGGAGAATGTTCGTCTCCAGGTCGTCTACTCGTTTTATCACCTGGTTTTCTACCGTATCTATCCGGAGAATGTTCGTCTCCAGGTCGCCTTCCAGTTTTATCACCTGGCTTTCTACCGTATCGGTCAGGAGAATGTTCGTCTCCAGGTCGCCTTCCAGTTTTATCACCTGGCTTTCTACCGTATCGGTCAGGTGAATCATCGTCTCCGGGTCTTCTTCCAGTTTTATCGCTTGGCTTCCTTCCGTATCTGTCCGGAGAGTGTTCGTCTCCGGGTCTCCTTCCAGTTTTATTGACCGGGTGTCTTCCGTATCTATCTGGAGAATGTTCGTCTCCCGGTTGTCTTCCGTATCTGTCCGGAGAATGTTCGTCTCCTGGCTTTCTACCGTATCTATCTGGAGAATGTTCGTCTCCTGGTTTTCTACCATATATAACAGGAGAATGTTCGTCTCCTGGTTTTCTACCGTATCTATCTGGAGAATGTTCGTCTCCGGGACGTCTTCCAGTTATATCACCCGGTTGTTTACCATATCTATCTGGAGAATGTTCGTCTCCTGGCTTTCTACCATATATATCAGGAGAATGTTCGTCTCCTGGTTTTCTACCGTATCTTTCTGGAGAATGTTCGTCTCCGGGACGTCTTCCAGTTATATCACCCGGTTGTTTACCATATCTATCTGGAGAATGTTCGTCTCCTGGCTTTCTACCGTATCTATTTGGAGAGTCATAATCTCCTGGTTTTCTACCGTATCTATCTGGAGAATGTTCGTCTCCAGGACGTCTTCCAGTTACATCACTTGGCTGTTTACCATATTTATCTGGAGAGTCATCGTCTCCTGGTCGTCTTCCAGTTTTATCACTTGGTTTTCTACCATATTTATCCGGAGAATCGTCGTCTCCTGGTTTTTTACCGAATCGGTCTGGAGAATCATCGTCTTCGGGCCTTCTTCCAGTTTTATCACCTGGTTTCCTGCCATATCTGTCCGGAGAATGTTCGTCTCCTGGTTTTCTACCGTATCTATCTGGAGAATGTTCGTCTCCTGGTTTCCTGCCATATCTGTCCGGAGAATGTTCGTCTCCTGGTTTCCTGCCATATCTATCTGGAGAATGTTCGTCTCCTGGTTTCCTGCCATATCTGTCCGGAGAATGTTCGTCTCCTGGTTTTCTACCGTATCTATCTGGAGAATGTTCGTCTCCTGGTTTCCTGCCATATCTGTCCGGAGAATGTTCGTCTCCTGGTTTTCTACCGTATCTATCTGGAGAATGTTCGTCTCCTGGTTTTCTGCCGTATCTATCTGGAGAATGTTCGTCTCCTGGTCTTCTTCCAGTTTTATCACCCGGTTTTCTACCGTATCTGTCAGGTGAATCATCGTCTCCTGGTTTTCTTCCGGTTTTATCACCTGGCTTTTTACCATATCGGTCAGGTGAATCATCGTCTCCTGGTTTTCTTCCGGTTTTATCACCTGGCTTTTTACCATATCGGTCAGGTGAATCATCGTCTCCTGGTTTTCTTCCGGTTTTATCACCTGGCTTTTTACCATACCGGTCAGGTGAATCATCGTCTCCTGGTTTTCTTCCGGTTTTATCACCTGGCTTTTTACCATATCGGTCAGGTGAGTCATCGTCTCCTGGTTTTCTTCCGGTTTTATCGCCCGGTTGTTTTCCGTATCTGTCCGGAGAATGTTCGTCCCCTGGTCGTCTACCCGTTTTATCTCCTGGCTTTTTACCGTATCTATCCGGAGAATGTTCGTCCCCTGGTCGTCTACCCGTTTTATTACCTGGCTTTCTACCGTATCGGTCAGGTGAATCATCGTCTCCGGGTCTTCTTCCAGTTTTATCGACCGGTTGTCTTCCATATCTATCTGGAGAATGTTCGTCTCCTGGCTTTTTACCGTACCGGTCAGGAGAGTCATTGTCTTCTGGTCGTCTTCCAGTTTTATCACCTGGCTTTCTACCGTATCTATCCGGAGAATCATCGTCTCCTGGTTTTCTTCCGGTTTTATCGCCTGGTTTGTTTCCATATCTATCTGGAGAATCATCTCCAGGTCGTGTACCAGTTTTATCAGTAGGTTTCTTTCCGTATCTGTCTGGGCTCTCATCATCTCTTGGTTTCTTACCCGTGCGATCGTCAGGTCTCCTATCGTGTTTATCAGGTGATTGACCTTGTGGTTTATAATTTACATTTTGTGCAATAGTTTCAAACATATTTTTTGCCTTTTTTACTGAATTAACAGTTGTGTAGTCTGTGGTTTCTCCAGTTAATTGATTTTTAAGAATATACTCGTCAACGGTACTTTCAAGGCCTTCCAACGTAACATCGTCAATATTTGTCAAAGGTTGATTTTTATTATTAAGAGCCGTTTCCATAAATTTGTTTACTCTTTCTGCAACGGTCAAATTTTTCGTTGATTCTATTATATTATCTTCGTCACCAAAATTTGGTATTTTATTTATTTTTTCTAACGTTGTTTTTACAAGCATGTCTTTTAATGTTTTCCTCGGTTCTTCTTCTTCCGAGTGTGGTTTCATTTTTTCATTTGTTTTTCTTTTAGGCCTTTGTAATTCATCTTCATCTGTTTCAACATCATCTTTATTTCTCTTATCATGCTCCGGTTGATGTTTTTTTGTGGGATGTTCATTTTCCGGGTATTCGTCTTCACTGTTTTCTGAATCGGTTTTTCGTACCTAAAAAAAACCAAAATATTTATTTTCCAGTGAATATAAATAAAATTAATTACTTACAGGTTAATAATATTTTTTTTTTTTACATACCTTGGTATTTTTAATATATGTTCTTCTTTCTTCTTCTCGAATAAAATTTATTTCATCAATATATTTATCATCTGTATGTCTTTCATTTTCTAAATCAGTATCGTTTTCGGTTGTTTCCGTATCACTTTGTTCTTCTGGATGTTTCGGTTGCTTTTTGGGCGAACGTGGCTGACTTTTGTCAGGTTTTCTGGCACAAGGTACAGTTTTAACTGGACTCAAATCAGATTTTTTATTTTTTTGCGGAGATTTATCTTGATTTCTTCCAGGGGTTTCAGTTTTAGGCACAACTTTTTTGCCCGGCGATAACAAAGTTTTCGGTTTGTCTTGTAAACTTTTAGGTTCTCTTCCATCCTTTAAAGGTAATTTTTTTTGTGCCGGATATTCGGGTAAACTACTTTTTACACGATCGGGAGTTTTCCTTGTAGTAGATGGTTTATTATCGAAAGATTTGGGTTTTTCATTGGGTTTCGTCAACGGACTTCTTCTTTCTGGGCTGAGATAAGAAGGTCTATGAGGTGAACCGGATTTCATTACTGGAGACTTTGATCTTATACGAGGAGATGTATCTCTTCCTGGCGCTGGTTGTGATCGAGGTGATTGTGTTGTTTGAGGTTTTTTATATTTGAAATCAAAATCTCGTTCCGTTGAAACAGGTGATGATGAACCACTTGAAGTTTTTCTAAAAGGTGATTTATTTTTATCCGTTGTCGGACTGAAGGTAGGAGTGCTACTGCGTTTCAAATTAGTGTTTGTCAATATTCTTCTCTCCCTTGAAGCTCGTGTATCAGAAGTTAAACGGCTAACGACATCGTTTATTTTAGACGGTAATCGAGGGGATTTATCAGAAGGAAGAGGTTTCTTTGGTGTAAGAGTCGGAGAGTACGTTTTTGGATATTTCGATCCAAAATCATTAATGGGTCTTTGACTTAGGTTAGGTTTTGGATAAAAATGATCATCACCAAATTCATTGGGCTCCGTTTTATTTTGTAAAAGTGGAGGAGCTCGGAGTGAGCTAGCAAATTGAGTATGGCTTGGATTAACATCTAAATTGATTTTATCTTTTTCCGAAGGTCTAGGAACATTCTTGTCTGACGTTTTAGGCTTGTGGCCAATATCCCTCGGAGATGACTTTGGAATACTTTTTGATGGAATAGATGGAACAGGATGTAAACGATATACTGGTTCCACTTTAGTATTTTTCTTTGGAATTGGACTCGAAATATTAGGTTTTCTATTACTTTTATTAGGCGATGTACCAAAGGGAACGTTACCATACGGATTTTTACCATTCATAGTTTTACGGATTTCATCATCAGTTAAAGGAACCCTTTCCTTAATTAATTTACCACTACGAATGACAGATACAATTTTTGTTGGTCGCTTTAAATCATTGGTTTTACGATCATCAAAAACGTCATCAGTTTGACGAGGACGATACCCATCCGGGCGTTGTGGACTTTTACCAAATGGTTCGTCATCATCATCCGGATAGCGACCAGCTTCAGTAGGACTTCTTTTATCAGGACGTCCATCTCGAGGTCTTCTACCATGACGATCCGGTTCATCGTCATCCTCTGGCTGGCGTCCAGTTTTACCTAGAGTGCGACCATCAGGACGTCCGTCTTGCGGTCTTCTACCCTGCGGATGCTGTTCATCGTCATCCTCTGGTCGGCGTCCAGTTTTACCTGGAGTGCGACCATCAGGACGTCCATCTTGCGGTCTTCTACCGTGACGATCCGGTTCATCGTCATCCTCTGGTCGGCGTCCAGTTTTACCTGGAGTGCGACCATCAGGACGTCCATCTTGAGGTCTTCTACCATGACGATCTGGTTCATCGTCATCCTCTGGTCGGCGACCAGTTTTAGTAGGCGAACGATCGTCTGGGCGTCTATCTTGTGGTCTTTTTCCTGGTTCCTGACCGTCCATTAATCTGCGTTCTCGTATTTCTTCATCAGTTAATTCTACGGTTTCCTTTACGACTTTTCCGGCCCGAATAACAGTTACCGTTTTTGTAGGACGTCTACCAGTAGGCTCCTCATCACCTGGTTGGCGACCAGTTTTACCGGGTGTACGATCATCAGGATGTTCATGTTGAGGTCTTCTACCGTGACGATCTGGTTCGTCATCATCCTCTGGTCGGCGACCAGTTCCACTGGGAGAACGACCATCAGGACGTCCATCCTGAGGTTTTCTACCCTGTGGACGTTGTTCATCATCCGGATGACGGCCAGTTTTGCCTGGAGTGCGACCATCAGGACGTCCATCTTGCGGTCTTCTACCGTGACGATCCGGTTCATCGTCATCCTCTGGTCGGCGTCCAGTTTTAGTAGGCGAACGATCGTCTGGGCGTCTATCTTGTGGTCTTTTTCCTGGTTCTTTAAGGTCCATTAATCTGCGTTCTCGTATTTCTTCATCAGTTAATTCTACGGTTTCCTGTACGACTTTTCCGGCCCGAATAACTGTTACCGTTTTTGTGGGACGTCTACCTGTAGGCTCCTCATCATTTGGATGACGGCCAGTTTTACTCGGAGTGCGACCATCAGGACGTCCGTCTTGCGGTCTTCTACCCTGCGGAAGCTGTTCATCGTCATCCTCTGGACGGCGTCCAGTTTTACCTGGAGTGCGATCATCAGGACGGCCGTCTTGTGGTCTTCTACCCTGTGGATGCTGTTCATCGTCATCCTCTGGTCGGCGTCCAGTTTTACCTGGGGTGCGACTATTAGGACGTCCATCTTGCGGTCTTCTACCGTGACGATCGGGTTCATCGTCATCACCTGGTTGGCGACCATTTTTACCAGGACTACGGTCATCTGGGTGTTCATCATGTGGTCTGCTACCCTGGGGGTGTTGTTCATCGTCCGGGTGAAAACCAGTTTTACTCGGAGATCGATCATCAGGACGGCTATCTTGCGGTCTTCTACCGTGACGATCTGGTTCGTCGTCATCCTCTGGTGTGCGTCCAGTTTTACCTGGAGTGCGACCATCAGGACGTCCATCTTGCGGTCTTCTACCATGACGATCTGGTTCGTCGTCATCATCTGGTCGGCGACCAGTTTTAGTAGGAGAACGATCGCCTGGGTGTCCATCTTGTGGTCTTTTTCCGGGTTCTTGAACATTCTTCAATCTGTGTTCTCGTATTTCATCATCAGTTAATTGTACGGTTTCCTTTACGACTTTTCCGGCCCGAATAACTGTTACCGTTTTTGTGGGACGTCTACCTGTAGGCTCCTCATCATTTGGATGACGGCCAGTTTTACTCGGAGTGCGACCATCAGGACGTCCGTCTTGTGGTCTTCTACCCTGCGGAAGCTGTTCATCGTCATCCTCTGGTCGGCGTCCAGTTTTACCTGGAATGCGATCATCAGGACGGCCGTCTTGTGGTCTTCTACCCAGTGGATGCTGTTCATCGTCATCCTCTGGTCGGCGTCCAGTTTTACCTGGAGTACGATCATCTGGATGTCCATCTTGCGGTCTTCTACTTTGACGATCTGGTTCGTCGTCATCATCTGGTCGGCTACCAGTTTTACCGGGTGTACGATTATCAGGACGTCCATCCTGAGGTTTTCTACCCTGTGGACGTTGTTCATCATCCGGATGACGGCCAGTTTTGCCTGGAGTGCGATCATCAGGACGGACGTCTTTAGGTTTTTTTCCTGGTTCTTGAAGGTCCATTAATTTTCGTTCTCGTATTTCATCATCAGTTAATTCTACGGTTTCTTTTATGACTTTTCCAGCCCGAATAACTGTTACCGTTTTAGTGGGACGTTCACCTTTAGGCTCGTCATCATCTGGTCGTCGACCAGTTCTACTGGGAGAACGATCATCAGGACGTCCATCTTGAGGCCTTTTACCGTGACGATCTGGTTCGTTGTCATCCTCTGGTGTGCGTCCAGTTTTACCGGGTGTACGATCATCAGGACGGCCGTCATTAGGTCTTTTTCCTGGTTCTTGACCGTCCATTAATCTGCGTTCTCGTATTTCTTCATCAGTTAATTCTACGGTTTCCTTTACGACTTTTCCGGCCCGAATAACAGTTACCGTTTTTGTAGGACGTCTACCAGTAGGCTCCTCATCACCTGGTTGGCGACCAGTTTTACCGGGTGTACGATCATCTGGACGTCCATCTTGTGGTCTTCTACCGTAGGGGTGTTGTTCATCGTCATCTTCCGGTCGGGAGCCAGTTCTACTGGGCGAACGAACATCAGGACGTTCGTCTTGCGGTCTTGTACCTTGAGGATGCTGTTCATCACCTGGTTGGTGACCAGTTTTACCGGGTGTACGATCATCTGGACGCCCATCTTGCGGTTTTCTACCGTGACGATCTGGTTCGTCATCATCATCTGGTTGGCGTCCAGTTTTAGAAGGAGAACGGTCATCTGGACGTCCATCATGCGGTTTTCTACCGTGGGGGTGTTGTTCATCGTCCGGATGAAAACCAGTTTTACTCGGAGAACGATCATCAGGACGTCCGTGTTGCGGTCTTCTACCTTGAGGATATTGTTCATCACCTGGTTGGCGACCAGTTTTACCGGGTGTACGATCATCAGGATGTTCATGTTGAGGTCTTCTACCGTGACGATCTGGTTCGTCATCATCCTCTGGTCGGCGACCAGTTCCACTGGGAGAACGATCATCAGGACGTCCATCTTGAGGTCTTTTACCGTGACGATCTGGTTCGTCGTCATCCTCTGGTGTGCGTCCAGTTTTACCGGGTGTACGATCATCAGGACGGCTGTCTTTAGGTCTTCTTCCGGGCTCTTGAACATTCTTTAATCTGCGTTCTCGTATTTCCTCATCAGTTAATTCTACGGTTTCTTTTACGACTTTTCCAGCCCGTATAACTGTTACTGTTTTTGTAGGACGTTTACCTGAAGGCTCCTCATCATCTGGATGACGGCCAGTTTTACTCGGAGTAAGATCATCTGGACGTCCATCTTGGGGTCTTCTACTATGACGATCTGGTTCATCGTCATCGTATGTTGTGTGTCCAGTTTTACCTGGAGTGAGACCATCAGGACGGCCGTCTTGCGGTCTTCTACCCTGTGGATGCTGTTCATCGTCCGGATGACGGCCAGTTTTACTCGGAGTACGATCATGTGGACGGGCAACATGCGGTTTTCTACCACGACGATCGGGTTCGTCGTCATCACCTGGTCTGCGTCCAGTTTTACCAGGACTACGGTCACCTGGACGTCCATCTTGCGGTCTTCTACTTTGACGATCTGGTTCGTCGTCATCACCTGGTCGGCTACCAGTTTTAGTAGGAGAACGATCGTCGGGTTGTCCATCTTGTGGTCTTCTACCGTAACGATCTGGTTCGTCATCATCCTCTGATTGGCGATCAGTTTTACCGGGTGTATGATCATCAGGACGGCCGTCTTTAGGTTTTTTTCCTGGTTCTTTAAGGTCCATTAATCTGCGTTCTCGTATTTCTTCATCAGTTAATTCTACGGTTTCTTTTATGACTTTTCCAGCCCGAATAACTGTTATCGTTTTTGTGGGACGTTCACCTTTAGGCTCGTCATCATCTGGTCGTCCACCAGTTCTACTGGGAGAACGACCGTCAGGACGTTCATTTTGAGGTCTTTTACCATGACGTTCTGGTTCGTCGTCATCCTCTGGTGTGCGTTCAGTTTTACCTGGAGTGCGACCATCAGGACGTCCATCGTGCGGTCTTCTACCGTGACGATCTGGTTCGTCGTCATCACCTGGTTGGCGACCAGTTTTAGAAGGAGAACGATCCCCTGGGTGTCCATCATGTGGTCTTCTACTCTGGGGGTGTTGTTCATCGTCCGGATGAAAACCAGTTTTACTCGGAGAACGATCATCAGGACGTTCGTGTTGCGGTCTTCTACCTTGGGGATATTGTTCATCACCTGGTTGGCGACCAGTTTTACCAGGACTACGATCATCTGGACGCCCATCTTGCGGTCTTCTCCCGTGACGATGTGGTTCATCGACATCGTCTGGTCTGTGTCCAGTTTTACCAGGACTACGAATATCAGGACGTCCATCTGTGGGTTTTCTACCTTGAGGATGTAGTTCATTTTCTGGGCGAGGACCAGTTTTATTCGGAGATCGATCATTGGGACGCCCATCTTCGGGTCTTTTACCATGACGATCTGGTTCGTCATCATCGTCTGGTCTGCGTCCAGTTTTACCGGGAGTGCGTTCATCAGGACGTCCGTCTCTTGGTCTTTTTCCTGGTTCTTGAACGTTCATTAATCTGCGTTCTCGTATTTCATCATCAGTTAATTCTACGGTTTCTTTTATGACTTTTCCAGCTCGAATAA